CATAACTCCATGCCCGTCTCCCTCGGGGGTTGGCAGGGACTATGGAACGCCAATTACTACGATTCTTACATAGGTATCTCTTTTGCTTCATCAACAGTCATCAGTCTTTTCATGCGTGCTCGTCGGTTAAGGGTAGGGGTAAGTTTTAATTTAGCCCTTCTGTAATATATAGCCAATCTGGTCAGTATATATCCGTCTAGGGCGCCGTTTACCGACGGACTCATTCATATCCGCTCTGTATACTTCTTTCGTTACTCTATTTAATTCACATACGAAATTATTTCGCGTGGGAATTAAATCCAAGTAGATGCTAGTTTTCTTAAGAACCAGGTGTCTGAGAGCTCTAAAGAAGACGTCTATTAAACGAAACAAGAAGCATTGACAGCATCACACTGACACAGACCAAGGGTAGTAGTGAGTTTCACACATGTGAGTGCTAAGTGGGGGCGGCCTGCGGAACGCACCGTTACTACACGGCTGGTGTGACATGCGGCCCACGCGCCGACGTCACCATAAACTATAACCACCATAACCCGGCGCTGGCGCCGTGACCTGTTCACGGTGTCACAGATTACGTACGCCGTGAATAAGGTGATTGTTGTGAATGTTAAGGTGTTTTTGATTGATATTGTCGATATAGCTTCGATGTGGCAAGGGTTTTAGTCCTGATAGCGAGCCTCTTAACAAGTGTAGGGTATGTTTACATGTGCACATGTACAGTATAAAATCGATATAAACTATTTTATATCTTATCATCACAATCTATTTATTTCCATTATCGTCTCGCTTGATAGGTTGCAATTACAAGTTGGACATTTTATATTGATGACTACTGCATGCTGGTATCGGGGCAAATATCTGAAAATAATATGACAAGACCTGTCCTAAGCTACTCTGATTCATTGCATTACATTACACGAGTCAGTATTATGGGTATTTCCAATTCCAAGTTCGGTTTAGTTAGGTAAAGTTGATGATAAAAACTAATTAAGTACGTTACTGCGCCAGCTAATAAAATAAAGTGATCAAGTAATCGGATGGTTGAATTTGTATTTTTTCTCAACTGTCAAATGGTCGACAAAAACATTTCGCCATGAAATTCACTAATTTGAAGTATTTTGTAGAAATTCGTATGAAATCATCCGCGACCGTCTACTTTAAGTGGTAATTGTCTGAAATTATCTGAAAATAATTATTGTTTTAGAATTTAAACGATACAGACGACCGCAAAATCTAATTAGGACTATAAATACTAGGCGAAAGAAAGTAGTTTTAAAATTCCACAATATTTACTAATGGAATGTAATCAATATAACATTCTATTATGCTGAGGCTAATACTTACCTACGTGAGTCATGTAAAGCTTGAGTATAATATTCAGAATCATCATCATCATGTCAGCCACTGACGTCCACTGCTGAACATAGGCCTTTCCCAGTTATTTCTAGATAGCTCGACGATCCAGACGATTTGATAAGGGGCACAGGCATAATATTATGAAGCAATAATCCTACATGACTGCCTCGTTGGCCGAGTGGTCGCAAGTGCGTCTACTGGGCAAGAGGTCTTTAATTCTCGGGTCGGGCAAAGTATTGCTGTTTTTTTTTTAACTTCTCAGTGGATCACCCCTTTATTACATGGGCCTCATAACATAAGTAAATAGTGAAAAGTGGCTGTTAAATTGTATAGTTGCATTAAGTGCCGTAATGTGCACCTGCATACCGCTTCAGGGATAAACGGCGTGATGTTATGTTATGTTAATCCTACATGAGACAAAACCAGTGCTGGATAAATTTTACATAGTCCAAAAAATCAAAGTATCGTAGGGATGAGCAACGTCCTTGATCGCACATTACGACCTAGTTATACCGCATTAGCTGAGCATGCACGTGAATGTTAGGAAGCGGAAATGAGGCCATTACGATAGGAGATGTAGGAAGCCGACCGAGGCCGAGCAGTTCCGACCGCTGACGAACCGAGCCGAACCGACGAGACTGTGCACGCGCTTACTGTGAAAATTATGCAATAAATGAATTAATTTAATAAAGGAACTGAAATATGATATAATAAGCATCCGTTGTGGTTTCGCAATTTGACCGTCACCTTTTTGGTATGTATTGTTTTAATGTTGTTTTTCTTCCTATTTTTGTTTAGTGGGAATAATCATGTTTAGTCCCGTTTTTCAGGAATATGCGTATTATGATAGAAAAATATAAAAAGTTCTAAAGTAATGTAGTGAAATTATTCATTAAAACATGTTACAACAATTAAATCACACAATATACCTCATTCCTACTTCCATTCTTTTGACTCCAATTGAGTTGTATTCTAATGTTTTTTTTTAGAAATCCTCGTAGTACGTCGAGTACATTCATCAAGTAACAATATATTTGTAACAACAATACCAGTTATACACGAAAAAACTAATATTTTTAGTCAGAAACGTAGATTTCTCTAAGAAATGTTAAGTAAAGTTGTTACAAGTGTGCCCGTCAAGTGGCGTGAACAAAAGACATCAACGACATAAAGTGCTACGAACTCGTATCGGCTACGAGATTCCAAAGTGAAGTTACGCGGTATGTTATGTTACTATTTTAATATAATTTACGTTATATTCAGTGTTATGGTAAGATATTTTAGGTTTTTGAATAAAAAATACGGTTTATTGTTTGTTTTCATGAACCTAGATAGATATTTTTCAGGTCGTTTCTTTTGACGCTATCAATCAACACTGAAAGATTATTTACTTAAATCTGTCGTGTGTGGCTAGAATCTGAATTTAAGTAGCATTAGGTTTTTTGACTACAGATTACACAATTTATTATTTTTAAGCATTTAGATGTAAGATCACTAAGCGTTTTATATTATTATGTTTGATCTACAAAGTTAATATGCTCACGTATACTATAAATATTATTACAATTTCCATTACCCAAACAAAATAGAGTAATCTAACTCGATTAAACTCAATCCCGCTATTCTTAACCCCGTTATCGAATGACCCTTCGTGCCTTTCAGTCATCTTAAACCTGCAGGGCTTCATACAAAACAGAGTATTACGCCATGTCGCCCCCTGGATGTACACGAATAACGGACTCGATTCTCGATCACGAAATCAAAGCGATTATGACGATTATAACTCGATTTAACGATGATCGGAACGTTCGGTATCGATTAATTGCGAGTACAATCACGAACTGGCGCAGTTTATGCGAATGAAATGATAAGGTTGTGATGTAATGCGACTGAGTTGTGATTACCTACTATGGGTACAAACGGAAATATTAGAGAAAGATTTGTAGAGAAGGATAATGTGTAGGGGTGGTTTTCCTTAATAGTATTTTGATACTCATTGTAAAAGGATTGTATCTGGGTTTAGCAATCGATTGCTACATTTGTCTTTGTTAAAAAAAAATAGTTACTCTTTGATTGAATAAAGTGATTGCCTACAGCAAGGAAGGCGTGATCTACGGTTTAGGTAAAATGAGTCATTACTTGAATCTACTTTTTTGTATAACTAACAGAAATCTGTCTGAATTTTCTATTGAAGTAGGTATTTATCGAAATATTAATACACAACATCGGTCTTACATTTAAATTCACTTATCTTAAAATAAATTGCACAGTTTATCCGAATTCTGATGACTATGAAATGGCACAGCGTGATGTGAATGAATCATCCATTTCGATTAGTTTATCGACACTCAAGGACATTAGAGGTCACGGTTCGATGCTGGGGTCACTGACCTGCACATTATTCCTAATATTATTAAAACTGTAACGATTGCTTCAAACAACAGACATTAGGCAGATAGAATTGAATGAATTTATTTAGAGAACAAAAAATCTATTGTACTTTAAAGTTATGGATAACGGTGGTTTTTTATTGTAATATTGGAGAATAGTTTACTTTTAAATAAATCTGTATTTAGATTAAGATGTTTTCGAATCGATTCGTGGTGGATGTTGGTTGAAGTTCAGCTAATGTTAGAATTGTGATTCGTTGTAATCATATAGCGTCTTTTTGGCACTTAAAGATGCTATTCGCAGGTTACATTACAAGTATGTATTTATATTCTAATATACAATATTATAGAAGGTAAACAAAGCCAAAATTATTTTGCCCACCTAAAGCTCTCTTATGAAACAGCAGAGCCAGACTTGAAACAATCTAGAAACACTAATGAAATGTTTTCTACAATCATTGTAAAAATAAGGATTTATCTTAAAAAATTGTATGGGAAAGGGAATTTTAGATATTTCCATAACAGTAGTTATCGTTCTGACAAATCTTTGGTCATTTACTAGATATATTTTTGATAAGTTTCAACAACATTCTGTTTATTAATCGAACATGCATTACTGAATTAAAATTGTGTGTATCACCGAACAAAAATGTACAGTTGACCATTTACACAAAAAATCTTATGCACAGTGTACCGTAAACACCACCGTCCATCGAAGAATTCGTTCACCTTTAACTTTTCAAGAAACGATTCACAATAAATTGAAATTGTTTAATACATATAATATTTTCATCGCAAACTTGTACGTGATTCAACAATTTTATTATTAGATATTGATTCTCTGGGATGGGTCTAATCTTGTGGCCTGTCATTATGGCCGGCCTGTCTTTTGACCCGTCATTAGGTGGTAGCATTACGATTTACGAACAATGCGCCGACAATATGGGTATATCACGAAACTAAGTTTAGCCACGTTTACTTACATTTGTTTGCAAATACAAGTGATCATTAGAATGTATCACGATTCAATTTAGCTCGCTATAATAATATCATATTCAATACATTTCTTTATTTAATCTTCTATTTCAATTTGTTACATATTGTTCTGTGTAGTGTATATGTGAGCGTAATTTGTTTTTGTTTTATTTCAGATTCTTCATCGTGTGCTGTTGTTTTATTACCTCTAGGGTAAGTTTATTTTATAATTTCAATATTTTTTTTTTGTATTTGTGCCTTGTTTGTAGAGACGGTATAATGGTTAGAGTTTAGTCATGTCAATAAGTAGGAGTAGTTGGACATACCTTGACTTGGTCCCACAATGCAATACGAGTGAGTTTATTATCAAACCCTTACTTTCTTTTGGAAATCGGGCGTCATCGGTGCCACCTTCATAGTAATATAAATTAGTATTTAATTACATTTAAGTGATAGTACGCGAAGGATTAACAAAAACGCAACTTATATTTCCATATAGGTTTAAAAGATTTCTCGAAATTCTAACAAGAACATAAGGAATATGACCAAATAAAGAGATAAATCGAATATAAAGCTCTCTTTTCACCAGGTCCACTCAGCATCACAGCACTTGGACTCGGCGGAATACTCAGAGTCGACAGAAGTATCCATCGTGTCTGTCTCCTCATCAGCATCAGCCGAACTCCACGAGGGATCTGGCGATGATCCCCCTGACCCTGTACTGTCCAGTAATCTTAAGGTTTGTACATAATTCACAAGTATAGACTTTATTATAAAATACTAAAGTTCAAAATTTATTAATAAAGTAATTTGTCAGTTTATGAAAGTCGGATGTGGTTATTTGCTACACTTTGAATGCTAATGCTAACGCCGGAATATCGTATAGCATAAAAACTTTCATTGTAACATGCGTTTTCAAAATCTGTGTTAGAAACCAAATCTGTGCATCCACGATATAGGTGAATATTCTCATGTTATTTTTGTTTTATAGTTTCTGTATAAATGACTATACTAACAAAACATTTTTATTTGCAGAATGAAACTAGAGAAGCTCTTAAGAGTGATGGCAGTGAACAAGATCCGGTGAGTACATTGTTTATTTAACAATTAAAGAGAACTATTAACTGTAATAAATAAGTGATAATATTAATTTTATGATCTTTACTATAACACTTTATGCTATTAATGAAAGTGAAACATTTTAAAGGCTGTTTGGAAAATCTCAGTTTCACTTTCTTATACTCACGATTTGGCCACATGAGTAGAAAAACGTACTCATGTGATTCGGCCTTGTAGAGTAACAAGTAGCAACATGTAATACGTGTGTACATACGAGTTATTACACCGCTACGAACAATGAACTATTCCTTGATATAAAAGAATACGCCACCGCGCGCCTGTCTCTTTCATCGTGCTTAATGGCTCTGAAAATAGCAGATTTGTTAACTAGAATTTACAACTCAATTATTTCCCAGATTTTTAGATTGTTCAATCTTTTTGTTCGCCAAGTTTCTGACTTGAATACTGGACAGTTGAAAACTATTGTTGTCTTTCAGACGTCTTTGTCAATCTTAATGATGCGTGTTATAAGATCAGTATTATAGAAAAGTTAATAGAAACGAAGCCGGCTTAATTTTCTTTCCCCGATGACCTAGGTAAAATAGATTTAAATTAGTTCAGCAAAGAAAATTTACAAGACATAGGAAAGTGAATTGTCAGCGATTCGTTTCAATACGAGACTGTGGTGTCAAATAATTACTAGTTTTCACTTTTATACAATTTTCCATGATCGAAAAATGCGTGTATTCGAGGGCACAAAATAAAAGAGTTGCAAGCCAAATAATCGTCACACTTATCACCCAATTACCCGCGGCTTGAACACAGAAGTGGGTGAAAGGTACGACATAATAATCACCAATTTACACCCATTTGAACGATCATTGATGGACTGATTGAAAGAATCCTTCTAAGAATACACGATTCGACACAGTATCTTTTCCTTTCGTTTTGCAGAATTGCTGCACTTATTTGTGACATTGGTTTTACGGTCAATCTGTAAAGAAAGAACGTATGGTATGAGGCTTAGTTTACACGACAGCGGACTACTTCGGGATGCAATTAAAATATAACAATGCACACGCAGGTGTTGCAGCTTGCAGATTACGAATTTCAATTTATCTATTTGTCACAGTTAAGTGATTGGTGGAAAATGGTAATTTTGTTTGTATTTGGTTGTTATTGGGGAATAGAAAGGCGTGAAATGAAGGTTTGGAGGTGAGGAATAAATTGAAATATGACGTTGATTGGCTAGCGGGGCTATTATTTCTGTTTCACGCGTGAGTTCCCGTGTGCTACGCATACGGTGGCAGTCAGCAGGTTGCTCAACGCGCTCGTACTCTAGCGACCGACTGAATGGAGGAGGCCACGCCGCCGCCGCAGCCTCACAGGACTTGTGCAATATACAATATTCACGTTGCGAAGGGCTTGTCTAATCTGATTAGGTTATCATCTGTAGTTCCGCTCCAATTTATGGAGTTTTAATATTCATGCTGTATATTTTTTACAACAGACTAAGTGTAAACGTTATACTTTAGTTTACAAACTATAGGTATGTCTGTTTGTTACCCTTGATAATTGCCCTTAAATGTAACTAATTAATTCTTTATTGTTATCATGAATAGGACTATCAATTATTGTTCATCAAAGAAAGTTAAAATGTTGTCTATATTCTTATCAAAATTGTCATTTCACACCATAAAACACAAACAATTTACTGAGCTAATCGAATTAAGTCGTGAGAAACGTCCGCGAGTGTTACGCGCTTTGTGTATTTGTGTTAGTACCGCGATATCCATCTGTGACCCGTGTTCAAGTGGCAGGATAGCTGTTCTTTGACTCACATTGCATCTAAACCATGAACGATGCGACGATCACACACCGCGTGACCTACTAACAATAACATCCCTTGCATTAAATTAATTCCTAAATAATTACGTCTTACAAGATTTGTCAAACATCTATAAGAAATTTAGAGGACTTAAGTATCTAAAGAGTTAAAAATTAAGCCAATTCAAATTTCAGTTACCCTGAGGTTGTTAACAAACGGAAGTTCCATTCGGAAGTCGTTCAATGATTCCATAGTCGCAATGTTTGACTGTCAATCTGTCAATATTAAGTTTTAATTGTAATCATGCCGTGAAATACAAATGGTTACGGCTCGACCGACATTATTTAAATTGGATAACAGTTATAGGCATTCATTAAATTCTTTATTACGTTGTTGTACCTGTGTTCAATATAACGTGAATACATAAGTAACGCTTTTAAGTAAGTAAATATGAATAAAGTACATGAAAATTGAATGAAAGTGTTCCCATTTCTATTTAGACGGATAAGCGATGTCTCGGCTGACTATGATGTGGCCTGAAAGGTTTTATTTGTTGTTTTGTATTAGTTGGAATCAATTTGTCAAAGTGATGTGGCGACGGGCGGCGCTTATCGCACTCCACTGGCCCAATTTTATAATGCGTAGGTACTGGCTGCCGGCGTGCGAACTGCCCTGGCATACTTACAGCCATTTACGTCTTTTTTGTGCAAAACTTTCAAGGGGTCGTGACTGTGAAATGGTGAATTACCGACGCCGTAATTCGTTAGTTTGTTTTGAATTTTTTCTTTGGTAAGATAATGGATGCAATCTAGTTGCAGTTCGGTCACTGAGTGACTAACGGTTTGTTCCTGAATATTTTCTGTTTGTCTGTTTGTAAAACGTTTAAGGTGTTAATTAGCGGAGGTTGTGTTATTTGTTGAAGGCAGTCAAAAGTCGCGTGTGCCGGAAGGTGGTAGTTAGGCTTATGTTATCTCAGGGCTATCTGATTGCTAAACCTCCAGCGTGGCGAGTGTTCTTCATGTATGGAATGTAATACAAAATGAGTAATATTCAATTAAATATGGTAACAATGTAATACAGCATAACTGTTGTGCCAGTTTTAAACGTTCTTAAGGGTCAGTTTCGCAATTTCCGAGAGATGGTCAGCCGTCTATGAAGTTTAAGAATTATGTTGTTATATTTGCCATGAGTAAATTATTATTATTAGCTGTAATCTAGAGTTTAGCAGCTTAGTTCTAACCTTGGCAGAAAGACACGTGATGTTAGTGAGTTTATGAAACAACGGATGCGGTGGTTGACACTGCTCTGATTATGTACTTGCGATTAAATGTGTTGTTCTCCATCTTATATTTTTAGATGTTTGATGGAAACTGAACTTTAGTCTATAACTATCACCATGGTTCTTAAGAACAGTTTTGGAAATTTTAGTTGGTTTAAAAAATATTCTTAATTTAACTTTTTGAAAATAGATTCGTTTTCTAAAATATTCCGTTCACGTCAGAAACCGTTCAGGTTTAAACTTTTAAAACGCAAAAGGTGAAAACTTTGCTAAATCTTTGTATTTTGTATACAGGTGGTATTTCTATCGGAGAAGAACAGCTACATTCCAGTGAGCATCAAGCCTCGTTCTCCAGCAGTGGACACGGCGTGGAGAGAGCCACCAGCATGGGAGCGAGAGTACAGGAGACATCGGACTAATGGGAGTAGAGTGCAATGTGAGTTGACTTCTTTTTTATTTGTAGGCACTATGTTCCTGAGTCAGACTACTTATTATTAAAAATAGTTAAGGTTAGAAGGCATGAAGATGATCTTTTCACAATAGACTATCACAAGTAGTCAGTGATTGAATGGATTGTGTTTAAAATCGGTCTGGTTCTTTCAGTTATTTGCTCTGTTTCTTTGGCTTGTGATATCTACTTAAGTCAACGAAAGTCGTAAAGTTTCAGGTTGTGTAACCTTACTGTTACTGAAAAAGTTAAACCAAAATAGTGTACCGAAGTTATCTATTCTTTTATTCCCAAATAGTGCAAATTGAGTCTATATGATGACAATCATAGTGCTCAAATACCAAGTCATGTAACTACAATACAAAACTATCGTACTCTATGGTCATATAAGGACAATAGTATCTGCATAATCGGTGTAATTGTGCGTTCTGAGTCCTGACTCATATGAATAGTTCAGTAAAAACTAATAAAAAGCCACACAAAGGGTTGCGCAAGCGACGCCACGCGTTCCATAAGATACCATCTCAATTTGTACGGTTACACAATATTATATCTAAGTTTTTGTAAAGACGATGGTTACAAAAATAGCTGTTTAATGAAATATAGTTGTTTACAAATATAATAATACAATTGTAGTAGGATTAATATGAAAGTTATAGCTCTGTAGCTATTGCTTGTGAAACAGCGTAAGTTTACAAATGTTTGAAAAATAAATAACGTACGATGTAGTATGTACCTCTAGTGCTACCAATTCATAAATGTGTCTTTGTCATCAGATATTGAAGCAGAGTGCCAAGATGACTTCATGAAGATAAGGGTAGGCTTCAACGGATCATTCTCCGGACTGGTGTATTCAGCAGGTCAGTTCAAGGGTTCTAGTTAACTAATTCACATTAAACACGACATGATTATATATAGGTTACACGATGAAAGTACAAAGGCACAAATTAGCTAATTGAAATATGAAGGCCAATATTAGTGACACGCTGACGTATAACGTGAGTAGTAAAAGTAGTAAATTTTAAAATTTTCCAAAAATTGTGGACGTTATCAATTTCGCTATTTGTTGTGTTTTGGGATCTTCCTCAAATACGATTTATCGTCAGAAAATGTGAGTCTAATCAACCGTTATTATACTTAGGAAAGTTTCTAGCTAAGTTAACTAAAAATCGCGGGTTACTCACGTGAATATACTGAGAAAAGCTACTAGTTGTTAGCTACCTACTAGTAGCTAACTACTTACTAGTAGCTAACTACTACTACTAGTTTCGAACCACAGAGGGGTTCTTCCTTATGAGCAGCGTGCGCGGTCGCGGCGATGTCGCACAGCGTACTTTACGTGTTACGTTACTATTTTTAGTTAATTTAGTATGTCTCACGATAGTTATTATAAAAAGTTCCTAGCTATCTAGAGCTACATTTAATGCAGATAACTGAAACAATTATCCGTGTAGACTAGACGAGTGTCATTATCAAGTTATTGTTACTTACGTCTCGGCGTCACTCACACAATGTCTGTTTGTTCCTTTGTATATTAAGTTGTGGAATATGAATGTGATAGAGACTTGACGCATTTTTGAAATTCATGTAAATGTTCAATGGTTCAGCAAATGATGTTTTGATGATATAATCCTCAAATATATCTTAATTAAAAATGGTTTATCTGTCATGGATTGTGTTGTGTAGACCTAAATAGAGGAATATCTAAGATTGACCAATTGAATAAAAATAAATTAGATTGATACCCACATTCCATGCAATACAGTATTTTTGTCTACATCCTAGCTCTTACGCTTTCTTGTGCGTACTAGCTACAAAATATATTCACAAAATTGTCACACGTTACTTTTATTGCACGCATTTTCGCACGCACGTTCTCACATTAGCTCTCCATTTACTTACTACTCTGTGTTCGTACTACATGTTTGTGTTATCGTACTAACCTGTCAAAGGGCATGACCGTTATGTCAGATTTGATGATTTCGCGAGACGTGGTTGTCGCTAATCGAGTCAGCATCGCTGGATGAAATGTTCTCATAGTACTAACGGTACAAAAGGCCTGCTAACAAATAGACTATGAAGTAAATCGCACTGGCTATCACCAAACTGTCTCAATCGATCTGTTTTGGTCCGGTTGCGATGTTTGGATGTCTCAATCTAAATGATTTTTGTAGTACGACTGCTTAAGTTTGTTTTTGTATGTAGTAAGTAACTGTTCGACGATTTTGTATGGTTAAGATTGCTTCGAATGCATCAATGTTGTAAAATTCGGCAGGAATAGATGTGTATATTCAGCTTCTTTATCTTCTTTTTTAAATGAGTGATTTTATTATATTATGCAAACGGTGAAAAACTCTTAACGCACGAAATTTAAAAAAAATACGATTGTCATCTTTTTTACCAACATCTGACCTTGAAAATGATTTGCACGCATCTCAGAGCTAGATCATCATGCCGACTTAATCCGCGTCGATAAAACCTAAGTGTATCACAGAGTCACGGGAAAACGTTTACTATAAACCTATAGACCATAGAAGCTATTACAAGATTACTAGATATTAAATGTACAGTATTGTAAGTGTATAATTTACCCTCTTAGTGTGAGATTAGCATTGTTTAGTGATTCGTGGGACTGTCGCTAGCTTGATTCGCTCTACCGTTACACGCTTGAAGGAATATGAAATTACTACCTTTTAAAAAGCTTTTATTTATATTATGTTGCATGTTTATTTCTTGTTTTTAATGTTTGGCTTAGATTTTGTTGTTCTTTTATTTGTAATGGGAAGTCTAGATTTTGTGACGGATGTTTCCGGGGCTGTGATGAAGCCAATTAAGAGGTTAATAGCAAGGTTCTTAAAGTGTAATACATCATTACGTCTTTATTGGGCTTAAATAGGCTTTATAAGTTTATAATGACTGCCATAGAGGTATTATTATAGTAGCAACAATGATTTGCATTTTTCCTACAGAATCAAATATAAAGATTGATTTCGCAAATGTCCTTTTATTGTCCTTGTTATCGTCAGAAGGAAAGAAGAAAAATCTAATTGAACAAAAAATTTAGCACCCGAGTAAAGGCGTTTTAGACCGCTAGTACTTACAATTACTTACTTAAATTGAGGTCTTAATAAAAGTAAACATATGTCGAGCAGCCATTAAGGTGGCTAATGTCCATTCATAATTAAGTATACAGTAGTAACAGGAGCTTTATGAGCTGTTGAATGGCACTATAAAAGTAATTAGATAGTGTCTGTGGCCATACTCGTAGTTACGTGAACTATGTCACCATTTTACCTAAATGTTGTATTATTTAGGTGTAAGTAAGCACGTTTAGTGGTTTCGGTTTCATAGCACTTTCTTTTAAAAAATCTCATCTTTTAAGGTCGTGGTTAGTTCAATGTTATTTTTTGTGGATTAATGCTCGAAATTAAAAACAGATTTCAAAAAGCTTTGGGTGGATGTATATATTTGATTACATTATACTATACTTATCTATTAATTTTTGTCTAAAACTTAGATTATTTCTGAGAATTTGGATAGAGGCTGTGCATAATTAATTATTTGTAGGTCATTATTAAATGAATTGTTTATTGGTGGGATAGTACAGTGACATTCAATTTTTAGAAAAACTTTAGTTTTTACGGAATCTCAAAAAAGAGACAGCAAGGACAGTTGAATTTGAATAAATTAGATAGTGAAATGTGATTCAAAATAATTCATTATTATTATTTTTGCAGGTTACTCATACGATCCGGACTGTATGTACATAAACGGCACGGGGCGTGATTACTACGAGTTCTACATCCAGCTCAACAGATGTGGAACATTGGGGAGGAACGGTCAGCATGATGATAGCAGGAAACATCCCACTGTGAGTATATATTGTCATTGATTTTCTGTCCTATCAAAATATGTACTTGTAAAAAGGAAAATGTACTGTTCACTTTTCTTTGGCATTAAACGTCACACCTTCACATATTTTTCACAACAATATCAAGTGTGGGAGAGCCATGCTTCGGCACGAATGGGCCGGCTCGACCGTAGTGACACCACAGTCTCACAGAAAACCGACATGAAGCAACGCTTGCGTTGTGTTTCGTCGTGTGAGTGAGGTTACCGGAGGCCCAATTACCCCCCAATCTCCCCAATCCCTGAATCCCCAACGATCCTCAAACTCTTAATCCCCAAAAAGCCGGTAACGCAATTGTAACGCCTCCGGTGTTCCAGGTGTCCATGGGCGACGCCGATTGCTTACCATCAGGTGATCTGTCTGCTCGTTTACCGGCTTATGCCATAAAAAAAGTAATGTAAACGGTGAAATAGTTGATAACAAAAATGTCTTATTTTATGTTAATTTAAATTGAAAAAAAAACCATTAAGTTCACGTTCATGAAGCATTCGCCTGATGTGAATCATTGATACCAAATTATTATTAAGTATTGTGCCTTATAGAAGGATGCACATAACTTGGACTACATTTTATAATCTTGATTTTAGTAGATATGCAACTGCAACTGCTCTAAGGTTATTTATAGGTATAATTTAAGGTTATATCTTCCTTGTACGCTTATGACCATAATAACTGTTAAGAATAAATATGTTATGCACATAAAATGTCAATAACCCTACAAGGACAAGAAGTATGAAGAAAATGTATACATTAATACCATGTTTGGTTAGGAACTAGGAAGATTGGTGATCTACATGATGTTGTTTGCAAACAGAAGGCTGTGTGAGAATATACTAGGCTTATTTTGTACTAGATCTGTGGGCATAAGATTATAAGGCGCACGTACGTTACTGAGCAGTACTTATTACCTAGGTGATACAATCTTAGGCCGAGATTACAGGATTAATTTCGCACGACAATCTTTCTGTTTCATTCGTCTTGTTTTGTGAATAACAATTAGCTTTACGTACCTATCTATTTTATGCGTAACAAAGCCTACGGAACAATGAAACCAAGTAATAAAATACCTTAGATGTTGATTGTGTGACTGCATCGTTGATCGAGTGGTCGCAAGTGCGACTGCCGGGCAAGGAGTCTCGGGTTCGATTCCCGGGTCGGGCAAAGTATTACTGGGTTTTTAAAATTTCTCAGTAGTAGCACGGAGTCTGGAATTGTGCCCGGTATATGGCAATAGGCTCACTCCCTATTACATGGGACTCATAACCTAAATAGTAAAAAGTTCGTGTTACATTGTAGTGGCATAATGTACACCTCTACCTAACCGTTCGGGGATAAAAGGCGTGATGTTATGTTATGTATGTTGATTATGTGCCTGATCTTTGTTGGCTTAATATCTTCTGTCTATAAACTAACATCTGGTCTGCCTTTAAAACGTTAAGGATGAGTCTAGACCTACGAGCATGTATCGTACGAACATGAATACCACCACTGCCAAAATAATACTCTTGCAAGCACTCAATAAAACCAGCTACCTTTTAATACGTCTTATTAAAATTCTATTACCTATTTTTGTCTGACAGAAGAACCTCATGTGGAACACAATCACGGTGCAGTATAACTCGTTGATTGAGGAGGAGCTGGACGAGCACTTCAAGGTCACCTGCGAGTATGGATACGACTTCTGGAAGACTGTCACATTTCCTTTTTTGGACGTAGAGTGAGTAAAGTCTTCGATATTAAAATATGCGTTGGTATTTTTAGCGAAAAGATAACTTTAAATCGAAATTCAGGTGTTTGTCCAATCCACAAAATGTAATTATTGAAGATCATCAAAAATGAGCAAAAACACTTTTCTCCTCTTAAATTTGGCACAGTTGTGGTTTCTGTAACCTATGGATGCTCTACTTTAAATCGATAAGTTGCGTGAGGTTCTCGCAAAATTTTCTTTTCAGTTCAATTTCATTGCGAAAAAGTGAAATTCCAAACATTTATTTATTTTATTTTCAAACCACAAAAATGTTCGCAAAACCATGGCTGATTGGATTTGTCGCTGAGGCGTCGCGCACGCATGATCTTGTTGACACAGATTGTGATGCGATTATCTGTGACGATCGGTGATAAAATGAATTATCATAACCATAACTGCATGTAATCGGGGAACTGGATTTTATGCCAAACTGGGGCATTGATGAACCCATTTCTTTCTGGTACATTTTTCCGTAATTAGGTGGGTCAATCAACAGCATTTTTGTAATACTCGAACTAAGAAATCCAGTGTCTCGAATCAAAAGTGTTATCATTTAAAACGGCTATACAATTACTTATTAGGTACTATAATATTTTCATATGAAATAAAAATTTTCAAAAGGTAACTTCTTTACCAGTGTGTCTATTCGAAATTAAAGTTACGTATACTCACCTACTTACTTCCGTCATGTTCCAGGGTGGCGACAGGCAACCCAGTCGTGTTTACACTGCAGCCACCTGAGTGCTACATGGAGATCCGCTCCGGGTACGGTGCCAATGGAGCGCGCGTATCTGGGCCCGTGCGCGTTGGAGACCCACTCACCTTGCTTATATACATGAGGAGCGCTTATGGTACGTATTCATGTATTTGAACACTATTAGGAGATTTCTAGGGTATAGGGTATACCGATTTCTTTTTGTCTGGCCATCCTTTAGCTAGGGCCATATGATTATGTAAATGTTTTTAAAGTAACAGAGTATACTCGTAGTACTTACCTGTTACGCAACCCGTTTGGGTTGAAATTGAGTTTGCATCTTATATACTAGAGGTATACTTAGGTAAATGTATATGGGTAAGTTAAACGTAATATCTAGAACTGTTTATGATCAGTGTAGATTTCGTAGAGTAAAGGGCGCCACAACTGCTACGAGAAAACAAATCATGTAAAACGATATGGTTATCAAACTAAATACCGGTAGACCAGCTATCGGTTATTGTCATCAGCAGTTAGATTTTTACCGTAGTACAAGTGAACTACATAATTTTAGTATCAATAACAATTAAATACCGTAACTTAAGGGCGAGTATCGTAACGGTCGCGGCTAACATCGCATGTCTGCTTGCAATGCGGCTCCAGAAATATTTCAATCAGTTTTACTTAATCAAGATCTTACGTTTTTTCGTAAATTTCATTATATGGAACGGTATGGGAGCAATGGCGCTCGGTGAAGTATGTCAGAACATTTTTAGAAGGAATTGTTTAGGAATAGGTGGTATTCACATACCTACATAAACGCTAGCCGCTTAGGTTGGAGGCACTAATTTCAGAATTAGGTACCTAAATGAATATGTGGATCAATTGTTTATTAACTCTCGGGCCAAGATTATTGTGAAATGTTTGTAAACAAAGAAAATAATCTGACCGCATCGGAGAGAAATTCCTATTCCTCTACATAATAATATAATTTAGCTGTCACTGAATATAACTAGTTAGGGTTTCTTTGATTACAATTACAAGAATTTTATATCGGTTTAATGTTTAGATTTAGAACCATTGTATTTACGTAATTAAAGGTAGATTAAAAATGAAATAGAAAATTTTCGTTTATATTCGTTACAGTTGCCATCAGAACTTTCAAGGACTTTATAACTTTAAGTGTAAATTTTATTGTTTTTCTTTATTTTTAGATGGATTTGACATTGTCGTGAATGACTGCTTCGCTCACAACGGTGCAACCAAACGGATACAACTTATTGATGAATATGGGTGAGTCAAGTTTTTTTAATTATCATCATTAAAGTTTTCAAATATACCTATCAATGTTCATTGAATATTATGATTTGATTGTGAGATTTTGTTATTTATTATACTGGTACACTGCCTATTTATAAAGGTTTAAAATCACCTGCTACTTTCTCTGCACGGCTTAAAGGTTGACTGGGAGACAATGCTCAAGACATTAAGTCCACCTGGACGTATTGGTTGTATGAAGTTGAAATAAATAAATAAATATAGTGTTGTTTTTATTAAGGTATAACCACGTGTTGTAAAATCAAATATTTATTTTGCGGTATCGTGAGCTGTCGTTGCATTAAATGTGCAGGAACTTATAAAATAATATACGGTCGAATTGAAAAACCTCCTCAATATTTGACATCGGTTAAAAAGTGATAAAATAATAATTGTTGTTGTAACTAGAAACTCTCAATTGTTGGTAACTTTAATTAACAAATTTATTAGAAATTCTCCATTCTCCAGTCCATATTTGTATAATCTTAAAACGACATTTCTTCTGTTCTAGCTGCCCCGTGGACGACAAGCTGATCTCCCGTTTCCGCGGCTCATGGTCCGAGTCAGGCGTGTTCGAGACGCAGGTGTACGCGTACATGAAGACGTTCCGGTTCACTGGGTCGCCTGCACTTTATATCGAGTGTGACGTCAGAATGTGCCATGGAAGATGTCCTGTGAGTATCTCCAACTTTTATTAAAACATTGTTCTTTAAAACATGAAGATTTCTAAATGTTTCTAATGAAGTGACGACTACACCTACTATGTGTAACTTAATACTCTTACTTTGAACTTGAAGTGACTATTTTTTCACCAACCATAATCTTAGGTTTCTTGTTCGTAAACATCTAAACTATTGGCATAGTATTCATACATAGGGGATAGTCAGTCTACAGAATTATCAGCCATTGAATCCAAACCAATTTCATAATTTTCTATACTTAGATAAAAAAATAAAGTATTTTGACCATATACTTAGATGACGTTTATTCACACGTTTTTCTTAATTCTTGATTTCAGTCGCAGCCTTGCCACTGGCGTAACATGAAGAGCGTGAAGCGGCGATCTATTGAAACGAAGCCAGGCTTGGACCCCGCCTCCAGTGTCGCCCCGCGTCTCTCCGAGAACATCTCTCTATTTCAATCACTCAGAGTACTGCAGGAGGGCGAGGAAGATCCAGAATTAGCTGCCAGCACAAGCGGTAAGTAGTATATATTGCAATCTTAACAAGCATGGAGACGTTGACCAAGTCTCTACCAAGTCCTATAATTAGCTTAGCTAAATGATAAACCTCATGCATCTAACACAACTGTTGCTCCTAAATGGAATGTTTAAAAATGCAATATTGGGGATGTGGTCGCACTACAATCTACTTTTTCATCTGGAATCTTTGTTTTTGAAGTTAGACATGGAATATCAGGAATATCCGTTCTATAACTGTCGTGCCGTTTTTGCCGACATTTTCAAAACCCCCATAAAATTTGCAATCTCCTAGGAGTCACATTTCTACACTCATCATTCCAATTATCAGTTAGTAGAGTAAGTTCCTTAACAATAATACTTCTTACTGTTTCCAGTAGCTCCAGAAGGCCAGACTTGTATGAGGACATCAGCGTTGTCAGCCATTATGGTATCATGCGGGGTGCTTATCGCTGCCCTGTGTGGAGGTGTGCTGGCGGCCGCGAGAGGGTTCAGGCGCGGAGAACCAAGGACACCCATTCATGCATACGTGCCCCATAAAGGACGGATCAAATAAAAATCTAATTTTAAGTATAATTTCCTAAGATTGCGAGTGAAATTTATATATTGGTGTAATGGTTGTCATTGCTAGAAGTAGATTCTTGATACTCCTTAGCCTAAGAAACAACCATTTCATTAATCTGTTTGAGATTATCGAACAATTTAGATCGATAGTTGCCTATTTGAATCTGATTTTAATGTCAATGCAAGTTCCTTGCGTTCATGCTATTTAAATAGCCATAAAGCCTTTTTTCCAGTATGTATTTCTGTAATGTAAGAATTTTCATATTTTTTTTAGTTTGCTAGTTTTTCAAGCATTTAGCAAACCGTGGTATGTACCAATTGCAGTTTAAACTATAGTACGTACCTACTTGGCACATAAGCATCTCGACATTTAGATCCTTTAAGTATTTTATTTGACCATTCTCTAGAAAGTGCAATTGAACTATAGTACTAGTGATTCGTACCAAAAGGTACAATGGTGCCTTTAAATTGCGTTTTTAATTTCGACTTCATGTAACTAGCAATAAGGTTTAGATTACAACAAATTTTAGATGTAGAAATTAGTCTTAAATTAATTTATGCTCGTTATTGTAATACTAAGACAAATTGTGAGGATCTATATTTTATGTAAACAAAATATACCTCCTCCGTTTGTCTGGCTATTTATGTATGCAGTTCTCAAAGTTGTGATAAAATAAGTATTAAAATAGAGTTAACTACATCGTAAATTATTTAGTAATACAACGAAGCTTATTTTTTATCTATATTTAGTTTAATCAGTATTGCCAAGTTTAAAAAATATTGTGTTAATTATTCAAGCTTACATTTTTACTATTGGTCTTGATTTTTTTCTTAATAGTAAAATTAATGAAATTATGATTTTTTATTGTGTATCTTTTAATAAGTAACAAGAGTACATACCATATCAAAGTAATGTCATGTGTAGGGCAGTTAAATATTTTGATTCAGATTAATTTATTTTTCAGTTTGTAAATATTAGTTTAAGGTTTATTTAAATTAGCGTATTCTAATTTTAAATACTTTCTATTATTTATACGAATGAAATGTATCTAAGAGTAATAAAGTATTATTAGGTACATTTTAAAACGAAAAATTAAATAATTATATTTATATTTTGATTTATTCAATGAAGTATTTTTTTTAAACTTTAAATAACCAACCACTCATTATAGCCACCTTTTATCATTTTAATCTGACAGAAGCTACATCTACCCTATTTTTAAAAGGTATGGAAGATCCTACTTTTAATTACCCTTCTTACATCGTCATGGCGTCCTAGTACCTCGTATTGTAAGCGTCAAAGTGATTTAGAGAGAATTTAAACTGTCGAACACCGCGCGGTCACCGGTGACTGCAACCTGTTATCCTTTAATTGTGTCTATAATGACGGTACTCAAAGAGTTAATAGAGAGCCTACGTCATATAATAAAACACAATTGTAAAGAACACAATATTAAGTATATTAAAATAATAATTGCACACAAAAAGTAAGTACATTACAACTAAAAAACAATGATAAACACACAAACAATATAACAAAAAATCCCAGTGATTGAAATTCGTTGTAACTAAATTATTTAAGTAAATAAATCTAATATATAAAAAATGTCGAAGGTACTTGAACGTAGATATGCAAAAATGTCCCATTGCAGAATGAGTCCTTAATCAATGTCTAATAGACTAAACCCAACCTGTGTCTCTAACCATCAAAGGTAAAAAACATCTCGGAACAAATATTCAAAAAGGTTTTAATCCTAAGCACAACTATGTAGGTATGAATAAGCAAGTAAAAACAATTTCTGAAATGATAAAAAAACTAAAAGTATGTATTATGAGTCCCCTCTGTATCCCCGGTAACGTCAGTAAACGCGTTGTTTTACGTCAGTTTTTTGTAAAGCCGTGGCAGCACACCCTTTCGAATTTCGTATTTTGATATCTAGCAAGGAAACATATGTGACTTATGTTACATTTTTGCATGTCTACGTTTATTTGTAGCCGTAAATATACAAATACTGTCATGATTTTATTTATCGCACTTATACTTATTTACAGTACAGTTGATGAAAATATCCATTGAATTTTAGTCAAAATATTTATATTTTTTTAAGAAATATAGAAGGGTTTACATAATCTAGTTGATCTAGTTTTGAGTAGGATAGAAAAAAAACAATAAATTATAGTAAAATCAAGTCTAAAACAAAATGTTATATTTACAGCATATTTATAAAGGTGTGTCCATACTATTGTACAGGCACGCAATGATTGTCAAATGCGACCGAAATAATGTGATTTTAATTTCTGTTTTCCTCAATACATAAACTTTAAATAGCAAATATTTGCGATAGATACTTTAAAGCGAAAGTACTGAATTATAGTACTAGATTTTTGTGACATAGGTACGTGTCAAGTATATATGTATGTGCTGGAAGGTTCATAAGATATAGGATATTTTCAACAATTAATTATTTGATTTGTCCTCAGCGGCAGCGGTGGGTAATTTGCTTATAGTCTCTTCCAGATACTTCATGGCACCCTCTAACATTTGTACTTCGCATTTCTTTAACAGCTTCACATTTTTCCTGAAATTTGAATGAACTCAAACTCAAAATCTTTATTTACATGTTAAGGTAATACATACAGGTATTATGAAGTAATAGGCACAGCTTAACGGCCTTTTTCAGGCGTTGCAAATTTTAATTACAGTTCCTTGAATTGCCATTTTATGAATGACTGTCGTTATAGTATTCTCGGTTTATTTTGAGAATGTCTCTTGTTTCCAAATAACATAACATCACGCCGTTTATCCCCGGAGGGGTAGGCAGAGATGCACATTACGGCGCTTAATGTAACTGTACAATTTAACACCTACTTTTCACTATTTATCTTATGAGTCCCATGTAATAGGGAGTGAACCTATTGCCATATACCGGGTAAAGTTCCAGACTCCGTGCTACTATTGAGAATTTTTAAAAACCCAGTAATATTTTGCCCGACCCGGGAATCGACCCCGAGACCCCTTGCCCAGCAGTCGCACTAGCGACCACTCGGCCAACGATGCTGTCGTTTTTCCAAATACTTCCTCTAAAATACCCTTTTCAATTTTCCTTTTCCAAAATATATCTATTCTACTACGAAAGTAGCTGCGACGAGTTTCTGAGAAAAGGACATCTTGAGAAAGGGTTTTATGGTTTGTCAAGTAAAGCTACAAAGTATACAATACACATACCTATGCAGCGAAATATCATCGCCGCCTCCAGTCTCCTTGTAGGAGGCCACGATGAGCTTGCATCGTGTCAGCAGGTACGTGTAAGCGCGTCGGTCGATGTCGGCACCGACTGCTTCAGCACTGGACGGGTCAGAGGACACTAAATCCCCTGGCAATCCTTGACCAGACCATTTCGTTAATTCCTCTGAAAAAAAATTTAGTTTGTTTGAGTGAGAGGTTGCAAGTAAAATTATTGAGTAAGATGATTAACTGGAGATGCGAGTCTACCTCTGTGGTGTACTACTTGCTAGAGAATATTTTAGGGGACGTGATAGAGACATTGGAAAAATAACATCAGTTAGATCATTGTATTTCACTGTATTTCACTCAGTATTCTATATAAAAGTAGTGTATTTAAAATAAATAGTGTCGTGGTGGCCCGGAGGTTTAAGACCCCCGCTTCTCATGCATGAGGGTGCGGGTTCGAAACCTACCAACGGCAAGTACCAATGTGATTTTTTCCGAGTTATATGTACTTTCTAAGATTATTCAGACACCACTGACAAATGGTGAAGGAAAACATCGTGAGGAAACCCGGGCTTATAATTTTTAATTATAAGTTTGTAATCGCCAACCCACATTGAGCAAGCGTGGTGATTAATGCTCAAACCCTCTCCGTGTGAGAAGAGGCTTTGCTCAGTAGTGGGCTGTTGATGATGATGATTCTAAATAAAAGCCAAAGCTTGATCAAGAAGTATTTTCAAAAAACCCAATACAGGCAAATACTCGACAAAAGCGAATTTACGTTTTGCTGGAACACTACACTGTATGAACCATCATTCATCATTATATAACGTAAAAATAAAAGGCTTTTGTAACTTTTGTCTCGCCAGGACAGACGTAAATATATATAAATGCATACATTATTATAGAATGGTGTCATACAACAATTATATGATTGTTCACTTATCTGCATTGTGCAGTTCATGAATGCAAGAGCACGCAATGCAAAAGCAATGAATAGAATATTACTAACATAGTTTCGAAGTCAGAGAGCGATACATTCTGATATAAATCAGCATCTATTGTGTATATTGATAAGATTTTATTTACGATATTGAAAATTCTCTCACTGTCTATGACGAATGAAATTCAGAGTAAGTCTGTGAAAGTTGTTCTGTTTGTTATAATCTCGCGGTTAAATTGGGTTTGATGGTAATTCAGTATTGACAATTGGGTTTGTCTGAAAACGGACAGGTTCAATCTGTGATATACTATTATATGGAGTTTCTTGCTCGTTCTTCTCCATTCGAAACTACACTTTGGAACGAGCGCCTACCTCCACTGATAGATAGACGGACGGACAATTCAATTTTTGTCGTTTCAAAAGTGCCTAGTTAAAGATTATTTGAAATAAATGCTTTGACTATAGTTAAACTGTGTAAATCAGAATTTTACGCATAATGTAACTAGAGTTTAAGATGCAAATCGCTGCAGTTTACTTGGGTGTAAGGCTGTCGTGATATTTTTTCCAAAAAATTAATACTGGCGAGAAAGATTAGATACGATCGGATAGGCACAATTTATTGATGTACTAGCTTCTGCCCGCGACTTCGTACGCGCAATCCCATTTCCCCCCCGTTCCCGTTTTTCAGTAAAAAGTAAAAAAAAAGTATTGTATAAAAAGTATCCTATGTCCGTCTCCTGGTTCTAAGCTACCTCCCTGCCAATTTTCATCTAAATCGATTGAGGCGTTCTTGAGTTATAAATAGTGTAACTAACATATGTATAAGATTAGCACTTACCTTGATTCATGTTAAATATCCGTATGAAAGCTAACAGCTCTGCGCTGATTGGGTTAGGTCCTCGATACAAGTTGAAGTGTGTGACGCCCGCGAGACCCAATTTGGTCAGTAGTGCGAGCTTCGTCTCACGAAGCGGGTCGCTCGAACTCACGCCGAGCGATATAGACAAACTATCATGCTCGTTTTCTGGGTATACTAATCTGGAATTAAAGAAATACAATTTTGATAAGTTAGGGTATGTAAAAAATCTCAGTAGTAGCACGGAGTCTGGAAATATACCCGGTATATGGCAATAGGCTCACCCCCTATTACATGGGACTCATAACATAAAATAGTGAAAAGTGGGTGTTACATTGTAGTGGCACTAAGTGCCGTAATATGCACCTCTGTCTACCCCTTCGGGGATAAAAGGCGTGAAGTTATGTTTCAAAAGGTTACGAAACCTTTGATATCAATTTAATTCTACACAGGAATAGAGCCATAAGCTTCGTAGATCGTTACCTACACACTACAAAATACGCAATCAAAACATAAATATCTTATGTTTTACGGGGACAATCAAAACGAAGCGTTACGACATGAAATAACACCAAATCATATCAAGTTTCAATAGGCGACAGATGTGTCAATCGGATAGTAAGTGCAAGTCACTCATGTCGAACTGTGAGTGATATAACTAAGGAGAAGCCGTAATGAGTTACGCAAGTGTTATGAATCAGGAACATCGGATACACTTGCATGCAGATTTAGCTACTGTTTCATTACGATTGCTTATTACATGTTTACATCAGTATCGTTTAAATAATGAGTAAGCAAGGTCGAATGCTCCCGTGACTGTAAAACTCAAGTTCTGGGTTTGAAGATTGGTAACGAACTTATTTTTTAGACTTTTCTAATTCTCAATTGTACTGTATAATTATCTCTCCAGAGAATGAATAAATGACTAGAGGAAAAGTTGAACATCAGACCAACTTTTCTAAGGAGGAGGACACACTTATTGCTATACATCGTGTATGATAATAATTCCGAATTAATGAATTCAAAAACCTCTATAATACATCCGATGTGGAAATTGTACCTCCCCTTTACTCGTTGTTGTCGAATGGTCAGTCGGCAGAAAAAATATAATCGCATACCGAAGCATATAACTTCTAAAGTCACAAGACACACATAGTAAACGTTTACCAATTTACCCATTGTGTAGGAACAGGTCAGCATTCGGTCTGGATCCATAGAATATGAAGATTTGTTCACCAGCCTTAAAATCTCGTAGAGCGAAGCATTCTCCGCGCCCCAACTCCTTGTTATAGTCCGTTGTAATCTGAAAGGACATAGAAATATATATAATACAAACAAAAGTGATTTTATGTGAGATATACAGGGCATTACAGGGTTACAGGAAAAGTCGTGCTAGATCCGTTAAGGGCGTGGAGAGTACTCTAAATAAGTCAGAAATGATGAGTACATCATTTCTGACTTATTTACTATGAAACACCCTACCCTAAACTTAACCCTTTTCGAGATATTAGACTTTTATTTTTTTATTCAAAATTGCCCATTTTTGGCCTACTAAATTTAATTTTGTGTGTCTTATTATTATTATTATCCCATTTCTACATGTGTAATACGTAATACACAAAATACGCGCTATATTTAAATTTCATAATGTCTATAACCACTATCTTTGGCTATTCAAACAGGCCCTAAATGTAAACTCAATTTTCATCAATCGACTGCACGGTTGGAGCGGTGGCTGGGCAACTGGCTGCCGCGCCGCTCAACGTGTCGCGGGTTCGATTCCCGCACAACAACTCAACTGGAACAACTCTGTGTGATCCACAGTTTGTTGTTCTGGGTCTGGGTGTCATGTGTATGTGATATTGTATGTTTGTAAACGCACCCACAACACAGGAGAAAATTCTAGAGTGGAGCAACTTTAAAAAAAAAAATCAATAAAGCCCCATATAGTAAGAATGTTCAGACTAAAGATAATTTAAATAATTGATTTAGGTAGATAGGATACTTAGTTCAATGACAGCTATTTCCTTACATTTCAACGTCTAATAAACTCCGGTGGATACAACGTACAAGTGAAAATTACATTTCCGTGCATCAATACAGTGGGCCATTATATTAAATACATAATATTTATGTTCCAGCTCTTCCACGTAACACGACTTATGAATAAGCGGTTTTTCTTCGAAAATGATTCCTTCCAGCATTTGTTAATAGAAAGTTTCAAATATATTAACTTTCAATAATACATAAAATGCTGTTATTATTTATTATTATCGTGATTTTCTTGCGACATAAAAATCTCTGTTGTGGCACGGAGTCTGGTGCCCGGTATATGGCATAGGCTATCACCCCTTATTACATGGGACTCATAACATAAATAGTGAAAGTGGGTGTTACATTGTACAGTGGCATTAAGTGCCGTAATGTGGACCTCTGCCTAACTTATCGGGGATTAAAGGCGTGATGTTATTTTATGTAATTATTGTGGCGCAATAAAAGGTATAATAGAAAGAAATTTCAGAAGTTTTCCAACCTCTTAAAAAATGTAGTTAACACTACAATTCGAATTCACACTCCGCTTAGTATTATAATCGAGATGCTTGCTTATTATGTCCATGAGTAGATAGATATGGTGTGATGAAGATCATTTCGTTTCCACGTACCTTTCCATGTTCATGGTTGCACATATCCCAGAGCGGTATGAAGGCTGTAACGTCAGCATCAGCAAGCTGAATGTTGTTCTGTCTGGTCATCACTGTGGAGACTGCCCATCTGAAACAATTTTAAGATGAAGTTTTGTTTAGTTTATTTTCAAGGTTTTCGATAAAAATCTTCTTCAAAAATGCATGGAAGATACAACAAAGCCGCAGAAACCAGCAGAGAAAATACTATACATTATTAAAAATAATGGTACCTATGAAGTAACAATGAACACCACATATATTTTAAACAATATAATTTACACTTTTGTGGGTAAAATGCAAACTTTTACGTAATCTGGTAAAGAGCAAACATCGTGAGACAAAACATTTCCGTGTTCAGACTGTAACTAGCGTCGGTGTCGCACAAATAAATCTTCATTAGGAATTTGTATCGACCAACATTACTTTGCAGTTGGTTAAGACGTTTGTTAGGGAAAAAGTGAAGAATTCCTTCATAATTGCCGTATAGCCGATTTGTAAGACTGAAAGATGTTATTTGTGATAACATTGGAACAAATCACGCGACATTGTTCGGGTATGCTCACGCGCATTTCACCGGACAAGTTTTTATTGATTTAATAAATGCGTACATTGAAACGATGATTTATTGGATATGGAATTGTAGCCCAGAATCGAGCAGTGTACAGAATTTCATGACAAACTATTGCCTACGTAGTAGATAAAAGACTAGAATATATTCAATGAACCTACACAAGTCAATTTAATTGACGACAAGCAAAAACTAGGTTAAAAATATTACACCACAAATTGCACTTAAAAAATTACATAATTATACAGCCCTTTAAGAACATAAAAAATACACATTAGTAAAAATTTCTCCCATTTACATTTTCCACTTAAGAATACGTAACAATTATTAACATATGCATGGCGAGCGTAACTACAAACAATAGCTGTTGATTGAAACAGGCTCTTACTTTCAAACAATTGCGATTTTCACTCTTATAACGTTAACCTATTGTCTCATTTGCAGAAGTCTCTCGGGGGTTATCTAACACCATTTTCACGTAGTTCATTAGGATGGGCGTGTTTGGGAATTATATTTATTATGGATTTCTTAGCGGACGGATAGAGGCTAGCTACTTTCACAATGCAACATTGTTAGTAGTGAAGTATTTACAAACAAGCCCAATGTACGGCCGCAGAACAATGTGGAAGTCGTAGATAAAACATCCACTGCTACATGCCTACTAGTTATTTAGGGAACGTGACATGTCATTTGTTTGTGGCATGCGTTTAGTTTACATCTCGACGTAATTTAGTGTATCTGGTATAAACTAAATTATAAACAACAAACATGAGATTCAGTCATTGCACCTTTTGATTCTGATATCTGTAATAAGATAATTGCTTAGCTGGTCGATTGAAAATGTTTCGTGTTGAAAATCTCTTCAGAGAAAATGCGGCGTAATATTATGTTTTGTAGATATTGAGCTTTTAATTTCTTCCCGGTACAAATCTGAAATCATTGGTAGGTAATGTTGGCTCCGCAACAGTAAGTAGCTCGACCATAATCATTTTTTCAGTTCAGACAACGAAGTATATCACACCTTTCGAAAAAAAAGTATCTACTGATCTTGACTAGGAAACAAATAATGATTATAAAAGACATGCCAATAATTTGCTGAACAATTTGGACAGTTACAAAATAGGTAAGTAAGTATTAGCGAAATGATCTGTGGTTTACAAATTATAGGGAAACGTATACAAAATGAAAGTGCCATCTCCAACCAATCTGAGTTGCGTAAAACTGATGAAACAACCGAAGTAATAAAGTGAATAAAATATTGTGATCATATAACAACGTTGACTTGGAAATTGAATAGTACCAGGCTTTCTACCTAGTCCACGAAGAGGTTTAGCATTAAATGTAACAATTCATTTTTGCTTATGAGTCTAACTACAATTAAAGATTCCATTCTATAACTGGGTAAGTATATTGTGAAAATCGAAAACTCAATTTATACTCTATGCTGGGAATCAAACTGGAAATAAACTGTTCAGCCGTCGCATTTACCTCGAGATCAACGAAGGAGTCAGGAAACTGACTTGAGAAATATTTATTGTAGCAGTGTAATTAGGAGAATCGAGTGCATTAATCAACATTCAAACAACCCTACTGACAGTTGTCAATCAAATCGATTCATACTTAGTATTCCGCACATGAATGGACTTTAATTGGCAATGCCAAACAATAAATACGGATCATATGCAAATTATATATGGAAATATTGTACTTTCTCTGGAAAATTCGCGGAGATAGAGTAATATGACCAGGTGTTGAAATCTTATTTCGGACATATGATAAAAGTTCTTTAGCATATGCAAAGCTAGCTCATGAAGATAGAGATTAAAGGGAACTGCAACAGTAGTGATTCATGATTGATGATAATTGTTAAAATCAGTTAACATTGATTCAAATTGAGATGTCTATTATAACACGTAAGCAATAGATAATTTTAAACAGTTTCTATTTAAGGCGTAAAAAGAAAAAGAAGTTTTACTTTCTACCCCATATAAAGAGACAAATAACAAGAAAGTTTAAACGTAAGTGAACTTAGAAGTAATTTTTGCTACTTGATATGGTGTACATCAACATACGTGAGTGAACGCTTAGCATATGATCTTCTAGTGAACGCGTATGATGATACGTTCTGATCGCTTGACTTATCCCATATAACGAGCTTTTTGTGTCGTCGCAACGATCTCACTAAATCAAGCATAATATGCGAGTGATATGGAAAGTAAGAGCGACGCGTGAGAAGTCATATGACGCTAACAATGACCCATACAATGTGCCATCAGATGAGATTAGAGGATCGATAAGCTTGGGATGTAAGATGCTCATTAGAGGTATAATAAATAATAACGACATACGATATTTTCATTTTAAGAAATTTTCAATTCGGATTAAGTGAACTGAAATAGGTATTTCAACTACCTTTTGTAGGCATTGATCTTTAGTAGATACCAATGACACTAACAACTTATGCATACACTAAGATTACGATTGTTATGTCGTAAATAGGTACCTACGGCAATTGCAAAATGCAATTTTTAAGTAAACGGATGCATGACACAGGTGTGAATTTAGCACAACACTCATCATATTATCAAGAGCAGTTACGTAAATCTTGTCATTCATCTTCTATTTGTGAGTTACACAATCTTACTTAGCGGATTATAGCTAGAAAATACAACGAGAGAAATGCTGGTGCGCAAGTGGGCGTGAAAATTCTAATTCTTACTTTGTCACGACGGTACGCGGAACAAGTTAGCATAGGTAAGAAATATTTAACTAAGAAATTTACCGAGGGAAACAAGGAAACACTGGTTTTCGTACCACACGGAAGTTTTTAATGGTCGATAAAGTGTAGACAGTATCCATTCTAGTCAACTACCGTAAGCAATTTTATTAAACAAATATGTGTCTGGCGTAAGAAGCGTGTAACCACAAAAGATGATTTAAAATCCAATTAAATTGTTATGCAGCAATTTACGTAACTTTTAACTACGATTATATTGGAATTTTTGGTCGTGCTTCAGCTTTTCCATAGCTTTAACCTATTTATTGGTCACGCTGGTTAAAGCTATTAACTCACGCGTTTTATTGTTTTAATAACAGCCTCTCCTATTATGCATATACTAACGCTTAAAGTCATCAAAGGCCTCTGATGAGTCGATGTTCATGAGATGAACATAAAAGCCTTTATTGAGCAAACTGGTAATTAGTAGCAATAATAACTAATAACATTTAAACAGTTTTTCCCATCACAATAGGCTTATAAATTATGTAATCGAAAAATGTCTAAATTTGAAAAACGTGTGTGGAAAAACCAGACTGCTAGCACTGACAAAGCTAATTTCGAAGGCCTAATTATTTATTCGGATTTTTGCACACATTGTTGAAAATCATAACATGATGGTTTCTCCCGTTCAATGCTAACTATTTTTATACTCTTGCATATTATTAGATGCAAGTAATTGATTAACAAACAACGCTAATTCGCGCATGTGATCGTCACGGGCTGCGCGCACATTCCGCTGGGGAGGCGGCGCGGCGCGTGCGCACATTCCGTTTCACATAATACTGTGATTTGCCATCTTTGCCGCATGGAAATTAAGGGAGTTTAGAATCTATTAGACGATGTGTAATATAAATTATTAAGCAGAAATTGTTTCAAGCATTTGAATTTTTTTCTACTTAGATTCTCTAAACCTGCGACAGTAATGACCGAAGCCTACAGTTACATATAGATAATGAAAGGCAAAATATCAAAATCCCAATACAGAAAAACACTGATAAGTTTAAAGATTTTTAAACGGTATCGTTTCAAGTTCAAATTTAACGCACATAAGCAATCCACAAGCTGTAAAAATACAGTTTAAAAAAATATTTCGCTTTGGAGGAGTCGCTTGAACTTCTATGTCAAACTTCGGTTAGTTATTGGTAAGTAATTTAATTTACGGCACATTGAGAAAAATAAAACTTGTAAACATGAAAATATGGAAGCTGTAAACTTTTCTTTTATCTATAACATAGAGCGAAGACAAATGGATATCAATCTTATGCAATATGCATATGCACATTGGAGAACAACGCTTCATAGTAAAAATAACGGCGTCATGGTGGAATAGGTTTCAACAGTGCTTGATCGAACATTGCAAACGCGAATGAACAATGTTGAAAAAACACAAAATGCTGTTGTTATTGAAACACAGAAGAAAAGTAAAAATTGTAGGATCGCATTGCCGGAGCGCTGTGCATTTACCACTGAAGAGTTACCACTCGAACGCGCTGAGCCGCCGCGGGCAAACGTGTGCCGCCAACCGCCATTATCACTTTCACGTTCGCAAATAAAAAAAGCGCGGGAATCTTGTGCGAGAAATCTTACAATTTTTATGAAATAATAACGAGCAGTAATATAACTGGCAACTAAGGATTGAACCACCGTGATATCGGATTGTTTACAAATACACAATCATGATGTGAAAATAAAATAATTCAAACGTTTAACAACCACAGCAGAGAGCACGCGTTTTCAAAAATCGAGAACCGCCGCACGTGAATTTCGCGGTGATTCTTTTTCTACTATTTCTATTTCTTTATCTTGGGTTCTTTCGTCTACTAGTTTCTATACTTCGAGTTTCATTCGTCAATAGGTTGTGTCGAGTTAGTTGCGTGAATTGATACTAACTTTGGAACTGTTATTAGTGCAGTGTAAGAATTGTGCATCAATACGTGTGGACGTACTGTTAGTGCGTTCGGATCCTGCAGTTGTCTCTTTGATATAATATGGGTATGATTTGGAAATCCGCCATGCCTTTACTGACCACGTTGGCCGCTTTGGTGATTATAGTACATTCTGCAGAAGAAGATTTAGAGGCAGAGTATCGACATGACTTGAGGCCTAGAGCATTGGATACAGGAGCACCTAATTACGATCAGGTAAAATGTCATACACTTATTTAAAATGATAATAATGGTTAGATAGATGACTAAGTTACAAGCATCGTAAAAGATTTTGAAGTAGCTAAATAAGTTGTAATTTCAATTCACAAAGCTCTTTTAAGTTTTTGCAATGGAAGTTAGAAATAATAATAAAGGAAACATTATAGGGAAATAAAATACTTAGGAAAAGCAAGAAAAATGTGCCAGGTAAACTGAAAAGATAAAGGATTGTTATCAAGTCTCTTTATTCCTTTATATTATTTCCTTATTTATAAGGAGTATAAGAATAGGACCTTAACCAGTATTGTCACTGTTTTTACAGAAAACGTATAAGACAACTCTTTTGTTATGGTGTTTTGCATTAAAAGCACCTATGCGAGAAGTAACAGAAACACGTAGCTACGCTACATATATCAGGAAATTGATTTTGATTCTTACTATTCACTCTTTTTGCGATTGTTTCATAACAATGGCTGCGTTCTTTCATAGTTTTCTATTTTTACACTTTTCTCCTCAAGGAGTTTACAAAACAATGCAATAGTAAACTTTCGGCTATAAACATTTAAGTACTTTTTTGTGCGACAAACACTTCGTTACTGATTAATAACGCACGCAGTAGGCAAATTAAGAGATTATTACCAGTAACTTAAATTAAAACGTAGTATTTGGTAAATACAATAACGAGTTTGTGGATGAATATAAGTCCGCTGCGTACTTAATAATATTTTATTACAAATTGTACTGCACTATCATAAAATTAGATCTTTAAGCGAGTTCTAAAATATAAGAGACACTGACGACAAGTTAGTTAGGGAAAGTACCTACTGACTGCCTTGTGATAAAGAAGAAGAGGAGAAAACACTTGTAAAAAAACTATTCCAATAGGTAAATAAACAGGCACGTAGTTTAAACGTTTACTTTCTTAATACAAAAGAAATAAAATGGGAAACCAAAAGGAAAAATAAACTACTTACAAAGACTCCGTGATTAAAATAATCGGAACTAATCTCGATGATAACAAAGTGAAAACTAGTTACAAAGAAGGGATAGGAAGCAAACAAAGTCTAAATCTACATTAGACTTGTCTAGAAACTGGTCTAGAAATCTGAGGGAGGTGCAGAGTAAGTGGAGCGTGGTCGCCTGTCCGCATCAATTAGACAATTGACGTGTGTATATTAAGGCCAGTAGCGAGAAAAGCTGCAGTTCCATGTTTGAAGTGAGTGATATATTGGCATATTGATTGATAGTACAAGCAGTGTGCAGTTGTGCTCATACCGATAGTCTTTCAGCAATAATTTACTTTTTTAAACATTTACTTCGTCGCGTTAGCTTTTTGCTGTAACTTCCTATTAGAAATGTTCAATGGTAATTTCGGATTAAACCGAGGACAAAAAAAAGAATGTGCATTGTAGAAAAAATGAGACAGGAATTAAGTAAACTGGCTGACAGCGATCGAAATCGGACTATAAAACTGTTACAATTTATTTTACGATCAAACATTTTCTCTTCTCGGTAACTCTCGCGATATGATCTGTACAAATATGGTGAACAAATTGCCAAGACGTACACAGTTTTAGTTCAGTGTACTGTATATTATATTGTAAATTGGTCTACTGGATACTGCACGCAACAGCCCGTGATATTACAAGATCATATACATATTTTCAAATTCATAGTTTTTCACTAAAGCTAACGCAATTAGTTGAATTAATAGGCGGTTGAACATACAGGTAAAGGATGTTTTTTTAAAAGCTATTCCATAATAAGACATTAAACATTTGGCCTTCGGTATGAGCAAAAAGCTATAACTATGTTTTTGGTTCAGTTATGATATCACGCCGCGCCGCTTTCTCAAAGTTCAGACAGAAGTCTGAACTTTAAGAGAATGAAGTGAGAATGAAGGAATAAAGAAGGCACTTGCCTACAGCATTTCTTCAGTTTTGTTGGGGTTATGGGCGTTTAGAGTGGGGAATCAAGGTGCTCACCCAATAACCTCAAGGAAGACGGTGGCACGATAGTTACGTGCCACCGACCCACCGTCTGCACAGTGAGGCTCAGGGAAGACACACGGGTGCCATATCGGGTGTTGCACCATGAGGGCTTCGAGGTTGGTCTACTACCCGTGCTTGTTTCAGGTGCGGATGGTGGAGCGGAGGTTTTAATTAAATAAAAATCCCGCACTCCCTAGTCTTTTTCCCTTAAAAGCTAGGCGCCTTTTGAAGGCTTCCCCCAACAAAAAGGTCTATTCTAATAGGAAGCGACATTTTACGAATGTCGAGCATAATCTCGCCACCCATGCGAATGATAATTTCGAACTCGCATACAGAATACCACTGCTCTTACCGAAGTATGAAACTTGCGACAATGTTCTCGTTACGGCGGGCATCTTATGTCATTAAATTGGAGACACTATTATTGCCACATATCGAGTACAAAATCGAATACAATTTCGCAATTGAAAAAAATCCATCACTTAATCGTAATTTACTAATACACCGTTACTCAGCAGTTACGCTTGCTACCGCTACCTACACCAACGAAGCATTTCTTCTTTGTAGTTTATTGAATCTTACATAAACCGGCATTATACTCTAAAAGAGGATTGTAGGACCGGCTTAAAGTTCAAGTAGGGTTAAGAGGTCAAACGTTGGACAAACCTAGTTGTGGTGTATTCAATTGTGAGTGGCAGAAGAATGTTTATTATATAAATAGTACAACAATAACAAAACAACTGCACTAGTTCAATAGAGATTAGTAATTGCATTGTAAGGGAACTTCTTTCATTGATTGATGATGAAGAAGTTGTGAGTCTTAGCATGCCTCAGCATGGATTTCTACTTTTGTTTACAACATTGGAGATAGACTAGCATAGAAACTATATTTTATCGTCTATAAAAATAAAAACTTCAATATTAAACACAATAAACTGAACAAAAAACTTACAAAGCTTTCCTAAGATTACATCACAAACGAAAAAATCCTTAAAAAAATGCATACATCGTTACTTTCTACGGTATGCCATATTTCACATGAATGTTATAATATAATATAATATTATCATATTACGTATTAACGACCCCGCATTAACATAAGTCACATGGCACGTAGCTGTTGATTCGAGTTTGCAGACCGGTACCACGGTACTTTCAACTTTCCTTGCTTGCCGGCCGCGGTTATACCATCATTTTGTAACAGCTTTCTTTATTCAAAGATGAGATAACTAATTTACTTTATTTGAACAGATGTGTTTCACGATGAGACGCGGATTTTTGTTTACTTTTTTATTGAAAAAGTAGATTTTTTGTTGAGGTATTTCGTCTTTTCTGATTAGTTGTTTAAATTGGTTTTCAATTTTACAAATAATAATTGGCAATTATTGCAGAGTTCTGTATGATATTATTATCTATTAAATTACCTAAACCGAACCAGAAGAACCGATAAGAACCACTGTTAATTGTTAATTATTGAGTGCATTTTTTAGTACAACATAAATGTTTCTTGAACTATTTGTTTTCCGTCCTTATTCCGTCATCATACCTATTCATAATAACAGTTACCCACTGTAACAATAAAAGTAAGTAAAGCGAATATAATACATTAAAAATCAATAAATCATTCTAAATAATTATTGAAAACGAAATCCTTTCGTAACGCCTGAAGCTCAAGCACAACTACTAAAATGTCATGACTAAGATATTTTAGCTAACTAATATGGATACTTCGAAATCAATCATATACCTTTATTCATAACTAGCGCCACCTGCGGCTTGGCCCGAGGGTAAAAGAGAAGAAATAATGAGTAGTAAAAAGCCTATGTCACTATTCAACCCTAGAGGCTATCACTTATAAGAGTCATGTCAAATATAGATATTTGACTTGATAGAAATATGTTTAAAATAAACGCGTACTTTTTATAAGTTAAACTAATAGATTTTGTTCACAAGTTCTACATCATAACGATAGATAGTGATATATATATTATTTCTAATAAGACATAAGTAAAATATTGGTCTAGTAACACACATTCACAATTACGTATTGCGTAGAGACTCAAATTGTGGCTAAAATTAGGGTAAGTACTAAGCAAGCTGGCCCTGGGAGATACTAACATTAATCCACATACATACATCATATTTCGGATAAAAACCTATGGCTACATTATTATCATCCAAGCTCACTTTTTAGTAAGAATTTAATTGCGAAACTTACAACAAATTACTATTCTACCGTTCTCGGTATATGGTTTCAGCAAAAAAACTGGAAACCTATGAATAATTCTTCGACTTCCTTTCAAGGAGTTTTGTGTCGAATTACAGGCAGCCATGAATATTTATCTGAATACAATTATAACGTTGTCTGTGCTAAAATATGATGCAATTTTGGTTCAAATAGGTCTGTTGTTAATTTATAACTGTTTACTAGATTAATGCAACGGTAACCACATGACGGATGCCAGTAGTAGAGGATTTGCCTTTATTTTATATTTTGTCCTATGCAAATGTAATAAAGCCAGGTATACAAGTCTAGGTAGGGCCTGAATAGTATATGGTGCACCGCAAACTAGATTTAAGTTTAGTGCTTTATGGGGAATTGAACACAAGACGAGTTTTCCATTCTTGGAAATTATTGGAACCAATGTCAATCGATCAATCTATATCAGGCTAAATGACTTGAAGGTAGAATTACAAGTATAATTAAAAAAAAACATCTGTTTCGGTTTTAATGAAATAGACAGAAGAATAATCTTTTATTAATACTAATTCTTTTTCGGTTCAATATTAAATTCTAATAAATACTTCTGAGCATATCGCTCAAAATCGTGCTAACTTTGACAGACTCAGAACTAATATCTACGGTTCTTGTGGTCATCTGCCCAGCAGTTATGTTTACGATCATTCGACCATCGATAAAAATTGAGATGGATCACCGGCACAACATATCCTAAAATAAAAAGAACCAGACTAACCGGTTTAAATTCAAATCAATCAATTTGACTAATCGCTCTTTAAATATACACCTTACATCTAAGCGTGAAGATATCGTTCATTTGACCTCTATAATTTGAGAAGATGACAAGCAACAAACATTATGTATACATTCATTTATATTCTCCCAAAACACGGAAGACGAGAGAGATTACGTAAACAAAAATAAATAAAACAAGCGTAAACTTGTGCATTTCTACTACGGATATATTAATCAATTACAGCAAAAAATAGGCTTTAAAGTTTATTCCAGTCTTAGAGTAAATGACCGGTTCAACTGTTAAATGTAATCAAAGACTTTCTACGGGTGGCACACGCGACGCATCACCCGTTCGATCAACCAATGTCTCGCCTAAACCAACAATTACTTAATAACAAGGTAAAGTTTGTTTTTACCGAATACTTCAGTATTGTTTCCAAGTTTCACACAAGGCTTGAGAATCCGACGATATTTTTTTGTCAAACGTTTCAATGAACGCACTATGTAGAGCAGAAAGAGTCGCATCGTCTTAAATTTACGTAATGCGAGATGCGTGTGCGCATCGCAAGAAAAATGTGTTAAAACCACAGCGAAAATTACGTTACGGTTTTATGATTTTATATAATGTTGTATGGACTAATTACTGCTTTAATTAGAAGTCTTATTTTTATACTATTCATATAAACTAGAGTAGCTTGATATAAAGACGTGTTAGTACATAATTGTTAGGTATGTTGCCGTCATTATTAAATTGCACTCATTTAGCAAATTGACACTAAATTAAATCATATTGCGAGCTGCATTAGAAGAATCTTACTGTTGTTAGACTACCTACTGTGTGGAATTGAATAACATCCGAATACTGAAAGGTTACTCAATTTCGAGACATACTTAAATATCGTGCTATCTCTGTCATTTTACAAAGAATTTGTAGTGACAGAAAAATACTTAAGCGCGACTTAATATTTAGTAGCCTTTCAGTATTCGGGCATGAATGTAATAGTTATTAAATAAAAAATTTAGAATAATTGGTACTTTAAGTATAGAGATATAATTACTAAGAACGGAGTTCTACTCCTTCAAAGTGAAATTATTAAGAAGAGCAAGTTTATAATAATTAAAAGTAAATCATTCACTTTTCTCGACAGCTGAATGAGTGGGTTTACGATGTCATTCACCTAACAAATGACCTTTCACTATTTCATTTTCCAATCACAGACGCAATAACCGATGTTGCCGGTTGAACAACGCTAATTATAAAACAATACAATCGCATTAGTAGCGGAATTACGACGATTATTAAGTGAATACATAAATGATATGAATAAACAGTCATTTAATAAGAATCGGGCAAGTTAGAGCTTCGTGGAGTTAGGAATTCCGCATAGTTAGCAATGAATCTATGTATTTAATTTAGACTTTAATGATGATTAATTTAAAATCGCGGGTTACTTACGTGAATATACTGAGAAAAGCTCTACAAGTTTCGAGCCACAGATACACTCTTCTTCATGAGCAGCGTGCGCGGTCGCGGCGATGCTGTGATGTCGTGCAACCTACCGTTGCTACTAGTAGAGCTTTTCTCAGTATATGCATGTCAGTAGCCCGCGATTTTTAGTTAATTTAGTATGTCTCTCTCTCTTTCTCTGTATTTTAATAATGATGATATTTTTATCTCATCGTCAACGGTCCGCTACTGCCCATTGCTGGACTAGAGGTCTCCTTCACATAAAGTCTCCTTTATATTGTAATAATTGTTATGTATAGGGTGTTGATTGAAGTTTATAGTTTAAAAGATTCAGGGTTAATCAGAGAGCGCTGCTGCTCGGTCCCTATCGAAGGTATAGTCCTTAACTAGTGAAATGAAACCTATTAAATTATTAACGATGTAGTGTGTGGTTTAGTACAAAATCTGTACCTCTACATAGGTTTACAAAAGTAAAAATTCAAAGATTACATCAACATAATATTACAGAAGTATAAAATAATCAATCTTTTTTAATATATTTTTATTAGGGAACACTAAAACTAGTAATTGTGAGCATACTGTATCTATTTACTAATCGCCGTTTTTAAGCAGTTACGGATCGCTACACTTAAATGCAAACTGTTGAATCATTTAGCTAGTAATGTAACCGACAGCAGCTATTTCATATGTGCAGTAGTCAATTTTAATATGAGAAATCCAACTTTATTTTTTTTAGTCTGTGTTATAAGTACTTGCTGCTACGTATTTAAATTAATTTATAACTAAGATGTCATAATTATGCTTTAGTTCAATAAATTAATATTCATATAAATAAATTAGTATCTATAATCACTATAAGTTCCACGTACGTAATAGATCCGGACCTATAGCCGCATGGTCGTAGCAGAATGTCAAAATTGAATACGCCAAAAATACTTTTAGCTAGGACGCCGCCGATTTACACGTATGCTAGTTAGGAACCGGCCTAATTAATAGAAAAAAACACACAGCATTAACGGATTTATTTTTAAAATTTTCAGCCATGGAGAGGAATGGAAGCAGAACCACCGTTACAAGAACCACGGACTGCAGATAATTGGGATAACGACTCACCAGACGGACTTCCGAAGCGTCGCAGAATTGGCCGTAAACGAAAACGTCGTCCACAAACAAGTTCAACTGAAGACCTCATACCACAGGAGAGATTCGCTTATCCTGATGAAGCACCTCGACCATATTTCGACGTAGATTTTGATAACACTCGCCAAACCACCGAAATGCCTAAGAGAAGACGAAAGAAACCAGAAAATAGACCGTCCCGATGGACAGATGACGTCGTAGAGTTGGAGAGACCCATGAGAAGGAGAGGACAGCGTAGAAAACGACCGTCACTTGACAAATGGCCAGAATTAAGTGAATTCAGCCAAGCTGTACCACCACAACTTAACACAGAACCATTGGAACATCACAATGTTGATGATATGAGAGCAGAATTACGAAGAGATGCTCCAATATACGAAAATAAAAAAGAATTAGCAGAACTAAGCCCAACTAAAATAAAAGTAGAATTTGATCAGCTTGGAACTAACATCGAATTTCCTTCGGTTGATGATAGGGAAGCTGTTGTTGAGCCTAAAGTTCAGCTGGTCGAAGATAAATCTTTATCAGAATTTTCATCAGAAAATGTAGGAATGGCACCGTTAAGACCAATGAAACGAAGTCAAAGTGTAAGCTCTCAGGATCAACATAACAAAACACCAGTTAGCAAGAAACTTGATAAACCACAGGTAATATCAAACAATATTGATTATTTATTTTTTTTATTGATTGCATACTATGTGTATAGCACTACGCCAATACACCAATCATATAATAGCAATGTCAAATGCTAGAAATCGTTTCATAAAAATAATATATAAATCGAAAAATCCAAGGTGTACGCCACATGTGCGTAACATTATGCAATTTGAACTCAGCCTAGGACTAGTTAAAAGGAATGTTTGGTAAGTTAAGCTTGTAAATACATTGTTATCCCATGACTATAGGCAGGAACTTTAACGGACTTTTAATTTAGATTTGTAATTCATTTTTGTTGTCAGTTCCAACGTTGACATGTTTAATCGTAATTATTATTTATAGGGCAAACCTTCGACGCATGTAGCCAAAGTAGGGAAATTACCAAAAAATAAAACTAGCAACTCAGCCGTACGACGACTGCTAGAAAATGCAAAAGCTAGCGAAAAAGTTAAAGCATTTATTAATGCTACAAGATTACGGAAACTTAAAGCGAAACAAGATGCACTCATCGTAGGAAAATGTACAGACAAACTTAATCAAAACACGAAGAGAATATTAGTAGCACTTGAACCCGGTATTACGATGGATGAAGTCATCATGGTACAAATACGCTAATTGTTTGAAGTAGTAATAACTTCTCTAAAAATGAAGCCGTGTATAATAAACCGTAGCGTAGAAATAGTTAGCAGCGTAGTATACTAATTTAGATTTCATGTCGTATGTTTGCAATCATAATAATATCTTAGTAGTACATTATTGTAACTGGTAACTGTTTGTAATATCATGTATGTATATAATTGTTTATTTCTAATTATATTTTTCAGGATAGCAACTTAATGGACCCATTAACATTAAAAGATATATTAAAGAGATCGAATGGTACCAGTCTAAGTGAAATATTGCAACAACACAATTTATCATTGACTGATTTGCTTAATGGTAAACAGCATGCAGTATCAATATTTAAGTCACCTGATTCCTTAGAAATCCAAAATAAAAATCCAACAGAGCCAAGAAATGATATGATAGATAATAAACAAGATATACGCGAGAAAGAAGCGGAAGAACAAACTTTGGTTAATGTTGAAACGAAATATGCGTCTCAGCCAGCTGTGGAATATCCTACACCTGATGAAACACAAACAGATATCCCTAAAAAAGATGAGGATGAAGAGATCACAACCACTTTGAAACCTGTAGAACCTACTCCGAAAATTTCTACAAGACGTCGTTTCCCAATTGGAACGCGAAAGAAACTACGAATGAGACCTATGTTAAACAACACGTACAAAGGACAACTAAGTAGAGATTTAGTAGCACTGAACTCCAGAAAGTACTCACATCACAGAAGAAACGTCACAAAATCTAGGGAATGGAAGGATGTCCTACCTATGATGCAGAATAATACTAAAGACGAAAAGAACACCACCACAATTGAAATTGAAACTACTACTGCTGCTGTCATAATCGATGAGAGTACCATAGCTATTGAAGTTATTATCAACAATAATTCATCTGAAGAAATAAATATAGAGGATGATCAAAGCAACAAACTAGATGACGTTAATATGGACATAACAGAAACTACAGTTACTACAGTTACTTATATAAAAGAAACTACAACGGAAACACCTAAGCCGACGACAGAAAAACCAACAGTAGTAGTGAGACCTGCAGTTAATACATCAGGACTAAGACGACAAGCATTCAATAACAGATTAAAAAGGAAACGTTTGAAGCATAAGAATGCTACGACGGAACCTCCACAAGACGACCTTATAAAACACCTGTTTGGACTGGGTAATTTAGTGTCATCTTCTGAATTCATTGCAAGGACACAAGGCCCGAAATCAGTTGAAGAAGACACTGATACAACTGCATTAGACGATTTTATTACAACTGAAAGTAGCCGCAACACAGAAATTGATCTTGCACAGTCCACAATCAAAGTATCAACATTTGTGACACAACCACCCAGTGCAACAGAAGAAACTGCCAAAATAGAAATTGAAGAAATTCTTAATGACACTCGAAGTAAGTTTCACACTACTATTAGTTAAGAGTTGCGACAGTAATTTGTGTAAATTTTCTTACGGGTATTTATCGTTGTATGACCACTGACTTTCAGGAATCTATATATCTAATTAAATTTTTTAATGATACGGAGTTATGCGTACTTTTACTAATGTTCATTATTTACGTTTTCAGCGAGTGCCAAGTTATCCAAGATATTAATGGAACGAAATATGACACTAAGCGAATTAGTGGAGCATAGGGAACGTGGATCCAGCCATGTGCATTTGGCTGACATATTCCACAACGCATCTCGGGAACCTAACCCACCAGAGCCGTTCTTATCTAAGTCTCTTTTAGAGCCGATATCAAAAGAGACTTATCCATTAAGGGCTCTTCTAGATGCAAATTTACATGATCCAAATACTAAAATAACTACAGACGAACCAACCATGATAAATAACGTACACATTCCTGTAGTAATGGACTACCGCAATAACGTTAACGAAAATGCAGAAAACATGGGCATTATGTCTTTATTCAATAACTACACCAAGACAGGGAATAAAAGCACATCGATGAATGATTCTGAAGGAAAACCTTATAAGACAAGTATACTCACCGCTGATATCACAAATGCAACTAACGTTAGCGATACAAACAGAGAAGGGCGAGTTCTCAAAGTTGATCAAACCGAAAGTCAAGACGATGTTGTTAGTTGGAATGAAATATTCTCCTTGATGGGAAGAAATCACAATAACGATACACCTTCGAACACTTTGGAAGGTAAGTAAATTACAAATATAAATTAATATTATTGATACTAAAAAAATACGACAAACAAATCTATACTAAATGATTGCATTCCAGGGCTCAAGGACCCAATAAAACCGTTCAAGAAAATACGATTAGATGAAGACGCAGATGGCGACGGTCTGATCGTATTAGAAGACCTACAACATCTCACTAACTTTGAAAACAACATTGCATCGGCATCAGATGAGAAAATAGAAATAAATCCATATGAAAGCAGTGATCCTGTGCACGCATCAGGTATTCTAGATAAAATACCAAGTCAAACTAAATCTGTGACCGTTGCTACGGCCAGTATCGCTGGATTAGCAATGGTTTTATTCTTATTAACTTACGCGATGTTTAAATGGAAACAGCAGAGATCGGTTATAAGGAAAAAGCGCAGTTTCGGTGACGAGCGCATTCCGACGCCAGTATTCGAGAATAGGAAAGGTCACAAAAACAACAGTAGTACACGCAGTATTAGTCCAATGTTGCAAACAACGAATATCTACACATTAAACACGTTAGACTCACAGAATGGCAAAGATTCACCAGACTACATGTGGGACACTTTGAGAAAACCATTCCAGTAGGCAATATTTAAGTTATTGATCAATTTTCGAAAGAATTGGTTAAATTAGTTTAATTACACTGTAATATATTTAGTTCAATGGGTGTTTTCTGCAATAATAAAGTATTATGAGATTTTATTTAAATCGAAAATTGTGGAAAGGGCTTCATGATTTAAACTAGTGACCTGATATTGATTAAGATTTTTATAAAATAGATCAATATTATTTAAAAACATTGCCCAATATTTACAATTAACTTGCTCTGCTGTTTCAAATAACTTGTTTTAGGTAATTTTGCAAGAATTTTAGTTTTAGGCCTGGATAAAATTTTTATAGTGCGATATTGGTTGCTACAGACTTACTGAGTTATTGATTGATAACTTCAATATGTTCAGTTGAATCTTAATTTATTCGTTTTCAGTATTATGCTATAAATAAGTGCAATGTGACATATCAAAGACATTTTTGAGTGTTTCTTATTTTTATAGTGTTGTCTTAAAAAATAAATTAATTAGAATAATTTGTTTAAATGTTTATTTTACTTACCTGTAGCTGTCGAAAGTAAATACTTCTTGGAGTTTTTTTAGCACTGGTAAGTCCATTAAGTGGATAATGTTGTAAAAGTATGCATACTGCCTAGCAATGCTTCTATAGAGTTTCAACGCTGAATCAAACACTGGTGATGGCTGGAAAAGTTTAACAATAATGTCAATAGATTATACATAAAATATAAATAGCTTGGTGATGAACTTAAATAGCTTGAAATAATTAAACTTAATTCAAATACACAGATTTTAATGAAAAACAAATTATAATTTACCTTGAGTTCCGCTAGCTCTTCCAAAGTGAAATATAGAATTGTAGGATATTTATCAGGCAATATATCGATATATGGCTTCCAAAAAGATTCTGAAACATATAATAATATTGATGTAGTCGATGCACTATGAACCCTAACTAGGTGGAAGGGTCATTTAATATTCAAAATAATGTATTTTTCTAATCTTCTAATTAATCGAACTGTATCAAAAAAATCAGTTAGCGCAAGATGCATTACAATAACATAGTACCTACCTAAACAATTCCAATTCATGTGATTTCGAAATTGATGTCTATTCACAATGAATCTTAAGTAAACTTTGTAAAGCCAAGTAAGGGTTTAAGACTAGGTTAAAACGATTGGGATTTTAAGTTAATATAGAAAAAAATGTAAAGAAATAATACTTACTCGGATCATTCTTTTCTAGTAGCAGGAACAGGGCGAGTGTTATATTTGGCATGTTTTGCAATAAGGGATCAATTTCTATGAAGCTTCCTAGCTCCGACTCTTTAGCATTCTTCTCTGTCATCATTAGCTTTGACGGCACGGTCAGCAGAAGTGATCCTTCCTTGAATTCCTTTGTTGCTTTCAAACCAAACTCGTATCCTTCAAACTCTGCTAATTCAATACCTGTAATGATGTGTAATTTTTTGTTAAATATTTATAGGTAGTATTCAGAATAAGTAAAAATTTATGAAACTAAAACAAGATTAAATTTTAATGTTTACCCTTTCTATTGTATAATGATATGCTAAGTGAAAACATAGATGTTGATTCTATGTTAAATTTTCTGAATAATATTTTTTTTGTCTTTCACTTTTCTACTTATTGTTACAAAATATTCATAAAATTACAGTCATACTATTCGATTACATGTTGTGAAGATTGAAAAAATGTGCCCGGTATATGGCAATAGGCTCACCACCTATTACATGGGACTCATAACATAAATAGTGAAAAGTGGGTGTTACATTGTACAGTGGCATTAAGTGCCGAAATGTGCACCTCTGCCTACCCCTTCGGGGATAAAAAGGCGTGATGTTATGTTATGTTATTAGATTACAATCATACCTCATGACTTATCTATAGACACATTGATCAGACCAATTTCGAAATAGTTAAGTTTAATTCAGTATAAGTGCAAGCTATTAGTAAGTGTCATAATTTACAATTGACTCATATTTTATGACTTCCTTATAAGTAAGCCATATAGAACTCACTGCCCATTTCAGTTATAATGATCCATTTCCATCATATTTAGGAAGGGATTTATCGAAAACTGTAAGCAATAGGTATTGTTAAACAATAACTCCCGTCTTATTAGGTTGACAAACAGGAAAATAGAACTGAATTCTTGAGAATTAATCAATATTTGTTGCACTAATGGTTTATGATAGTTCTCACTTACCGTCAAGTTGCACCTCATTCTCACTTAGCCACTTGTTAAACTTATCAATGTTTGCATGCCTGCCCTGGCCACTTTTAGGCTGAGGGCCCTCTAGATTCAATATTTCTTTAATGAGAGCATCAATTTCTAAATGATGCTCCCAACTTTTTATAACATTAGTCGAAGCTTGGAATACTCTCGTCAATCTCAACACTTTATCCACAAGAACAGCTAATTCTTTGCGTTTTTGTTGAATGAACTTATTGTTTTCCTTCCCTGCATTCTTCTTAGGATTTTGTTTTGATTGAGATTTGCGGCCCATACTGTCCAAAATGCTGGCACTTCAAGAGTTAAAACTAAACTAAAAATATAGAAAGTAACTTAATCTAAAACGTGGGAATAATATACGCTAAAAATAGGTTCCTAAAATTTTGAAATGTTTTCCTTTCAAAAGTGAAAGATATATTTTGACGTAAAGGTTGTTATACACTGAGGGCTGTTATGTCTCTATATGAATGTTTGAAAAAGAAACACTTATTTTGAGTTCACACTTAAGCAATTTTCGAAGTCTTCTGTCGTCAGGTAAAAAACTTCAAATATTATAGTAAAAGGTTCTGATTGCATGATGATAATAATTATTTGTACGTTACCTAATTATTAACATGACAGTAATTAAAAACAACCTTCAATTTTGTAAATACCTTCATAAAAGTAACGACAGAATGAAACTACCTACATAAGTACAGGTAGTTACGATTATTTTATTTTGACGTATTTGGTATTTTTTGTTAGAAGTCAGAATTCAAAGTATTCTTGACAAAATAATGAATTTTCTCACAAAATATACTGTACATACTTTTATTGAAATTGAAATATTAGGATCTCTGCTAGCAGTAACTCCTTTTTGATTTTATTAATTATATAAGTGATTACAATTTTATATTAGTTGAATGACATTTTAATCATTAAATAAAACCCGCTACAGTAAACATCTATCTAATGTAGACCCAACCTTATTATTGCGTTCCAAGTACGACCCACCGAATATTGTCACATTTTTAGCATAAGATGTTTGGTTGGAGTGAAGTTTCAATTAAACTGCAACAAGTATTTTTATTACTTAATTTTATTGAAAGCAATTAATCAAATAATTTATAAACTATTGGCTGTATTAAAATATTATTATTAGTACAATTACCAAAACTGAGAAAACCAAAAACGCAGTCTAATGTTGTGAATGGCATATGGCGCATGGCGCGAAAAGTTTAAAATTAAATCATCAGTATTGCAACTTTTGTTTTTTTCATAAGTGCTTAATTACTTGAATTATTGCATTTAAAAATTTTTATGTAAGTTGTGATAAATTGTAATACATTACGTAACTATTGGGAAAGTAGTTAGGTAAGCAGTAGGTACTTATTTTAAATATGTAGGTTAAGTACGAACTTTTAATATTTATGTTTGGTTTAAATGTTTAAGTGAGAGCAATTTTCCTGTGATAAATGAATATTTTATAATAACATCACGGTTGATTAGGCATTGATAAAGAACTAACTTCGTCTGGCAATGACAGTGGTGCAGCGAGCACTTGGCAGCTGTGCGACCAGTTCCCAGAAAAGTTATTTGAAATCGCCCCACTTTTGGGGCCAGAGAAAGAATTGTTCTGTATATTAATGCCGTTGCAGAATGTTGCATAGTTGCAGTAAATTATTTTATTAATCGCTTTAGCTAACAAATGATCTCTTGATTGTTCCGTGAAAGGTAAAGCCACCTTTTGTATTTGGGTGTTTTAATTTTTTATTTAATTGTCTAGTATTTAGATATATTATGTATCCAACTTATAGTACCTACATACAGATATGTGTTCACTAGGCATATATATTATAAGTAGCTACGTACTTAGGTTGTAGGTACCTACCGGATACAGAGTTTGAACGATCAGCTAGTCGACATTCCCCCGAGCTTTTTTCAATCTGGTAAATAGGTAGTGGGCAATAAATCTTAACTATCGTGAGACATACCTACTAAATTAACTAAAATCGCGGGTTACGCACGTGAATAAACTGAGAAAAGCTCTACTAGTTTCGAACTACAGAGGGGTTCTTTCTCATGAGTAGCGTGCGCGGTCGCGGCGACGTCGAGCTCACGGTGAGTTAATTTGGAAGTTTATGATTAAATGTGATTCACCAATCTGATGCATTTTATTCATGCTGACGTATTTGGAAGTAGGTACTCGAACATAATTTTATCATTTTAATCTCTTTTTTGCCTTTAATACCCACCTGTATACCTACAAAATACAGTTAGGTACACTTATTTTCTTTTTCGTATAAAGATATCAACAAGGACGAAAACTATTGTGTCCTTTCCTTATTAATTTGTCTTCATACGTATAGGTGGTGTCGAAGCTGTAGTTTCCGTGAACACTCAGTAAAAAATGTGTAAGTTAGTAAGTATTCTATTCCATAGGTATCTACCTACTCAAGCTGAAAAAACCTCATGGATGCCGTCGTATGGAAAATTGAACCTACTGACTGACCGAAAACCGAAAACTACTTACAAAGTAAGTTATTGTGCATGTATACATAGGTAAACACGTGTTTTAAAAAACAGGAGGTACCTAGAGAACCTAACGGGTTACCGGGGCTCCGGCTCAACGTGCAGGAGAAGGAACGGGGTGGTTTCCCTCCCGCCTCACCCAGACGGGAGAAGTAATTCGATGATATTCCCCGCTTAAAAAAAAAAGAAAAAAATATAGGTAAATAAGATTTACTATAACTTCTAATAGGCCGTAAGTTACTACTTACTTGGGTAGGTAAGTTAACTTATCTAAATAGGTATATCTTTTAAGTGTGGGAGAGCTATGCTTCGGCACGAATGGACCGGCTCAAGTGGACTGATACTACGGCCTCACAGAAAGCCGACATGAAACAACGTTTGCTTTGTGTTTCGTCCTTTGAGTGAGGTTACCGGAGACCTAATTTCCCTCCTTCCCAATCTGAATCAACGAATCCCCAATAATCCTCAAATTCCTAATCTCCAAAAGCGTAACGCATTTGTAACCTGCTGGTTTACCGGTTTATTTCATAAAAAAATATTACCTATTAATATAACAGGTACCTACTTACAAGCTATAAATAAATTTTGACATCATCATACTCATATCATCATGTAATAATAATATATCAAATGTAAAATCTTACAATGTTATTTATACCAATTGCGATTAGGTATAGGTATTTAGTTATTTACTTCATATATTCGTCTTCATTGAAGATAATGAATCATTTTGTATCTCATACAATTACTTTATATAATTATCTCCTTATACGTACATAAATTAAGTTCCTTGGGTAGTGCGGCGTAATTAATGCGAATATGTCTTTATCTTAATAGTTATAATTAATCTGTATCGAAGAAAAAAATCTATAAGAATGTTGGGAATTTATTGCTCATGAAAGACGAGGAAAATAATTATACAATACAACTATTGAAATTATATTTTCACGGTTATGTTTAGTTTGTTATCACGTACTAGTAAATCTAAATGAGAAGTAAGGATTGATTTAAAAAAAAAGTTGCTCCACACTGATATTCTCCTGTCTCGTGGGTGCGTTAACAAATATACAAGTTTACATACACATGTGAATTTGATTTGAATACTTGAATAGGGATGCGAAAAATGTACTTTCGTCTGATATTTTGGATAAAGCTGAAGACGAGGGACTTATTTCCACTGAGGACAAACAAATATTGACATTTGTAAAAAAAAATCTCCGAGAAACAGCGAGAACTTGAATCAACTACGTTACGGGGTAGTCGTAGTCCTCTTTGTACACTATTCAATATTTAGGTAATCTATATCGACAAAAAGTGACCTGTGAGTAGACCCTCGTATTCGCAGGCCTTAAGAGCTCTTGGAAGGTGAATTTATACCATGTCTATCTTATTAAAATCAACAATAATGACAATTTAATTAGGTACATGACATCAGGTTATGCAATTTACCCATAACAATACTAACTAATAACAATGAAATTATTATTTACGACCTACAAATATTTCTAAGAACGCATTGTGTTTACCATGTTAAGTTATTCAAATCTATTCCTTCAAGGAGTCATTAAACAACAGCTGTCAACCAAGAAGCTAAAATACTAAGTACAAAATGATTGAGATCTAAATGATGTTGTTACAATATTATTTACTTAATTGTTATCTGAAACCTCGTTCTAGGGACAGCAAGTGCCAATAACGGTTACTTACCACACAAGCCCAATGCAGAAAACAGAGTTTTAGTTTAATTTACTTCTAGTTTCTTCTACTTTAGCAATAAAAAGTTACGAGTTGACACGGGATGATATACCTCTACTATTAACTTAAATTTAACAGAAAGGACTTCATACAATAATTTTTGTGTTCAAAATATTTCTTGAAAATGATTGCAGGATCTGTAGACTCCGTAGGCGTAATAGGCGTTACGACCATCCATAACTAACCGAGGATGAACCTGAAAATAAAAGCTATTTACTACGCATATAATCTTGTGAAGAACCAGCCAGCCGGTGTAACCTGTAACTTGCGTATGGCCATAAGTAACACCAATAAATTGGGGTAAATGACCATACAATAAATTTTTGTAAGACCTAAGATTTTATGAGGCATAGATTGTTTAGCTTACAGCACATTGGTTTGTATTAGTCACGCTCGCCATACTAACATCCTTGTGTAAACGCGCAAAAAATAAAGAACACGACTTGACAAAAGTTAGATCATCTTTGCCTGTATCAGATATATTTTAACTTCCACATGATCCTATTATTCAATTTTTAAGTCGGACGACATCTAATTGTATGTGGACTTAGTTGGATACCAATTTTACAAAAAGTTAGGGTTTGTTATAATACCTTACTAAATGAGATGTTTAGTCATCGCATTACCTAAAGCTCATTTATCTCCTACTCTGTTTTCGAGTATATAAAAAATATATACCTACCTTTAATGAAAGATTACCATACCACTAAATATTAGTAATAAGCTTAATAAGTAAGGACAATTTCAATATTCAATGCCTTTCAGGGTTTCGGCGTTCGACCACAGTCTCGGTTGGAAAGCGATGAAGCTGTCGACAAAGCTTTTCACTTCTGAAAAAGTGTATTTAGTTATGTACCTAATCTTCTTTTTCGTTGTATTGTAATTGCAAAAATAAATGTCTTTAATTTATTCACACTAGCATTTACAGGTAGATAAAGATGTATTAAAATGACATAATTGCCTCATTTTCTAAATGCCACAAAAACATCAAAACTGATCAAAAGTCCG